CCGTCGCCTGTCGCAGCGCCCCTGGGGACCCGCGCGTCGCCCTCTGTCGCCCGAAGCGACCCGCGCGACCTGCGCCAGGCCCGTACAGCTCGCGCGCGGCCCGTACAGCTCGCGCGCGGCCCGTATGGCCTGCGCCAGGCCCGCGCGCGGCCCGTACAGCCTGCGCCAGGCCCGCGCGCGGCTCGTACGGGCTGCGCCAGGCCCGCGCGCGACCTGTACAGCCCACGCGCGGCTCGTACGGCCTGCGCCAGGCCCGCGCGCGGCTCGTACGGGCTGCGCCAGGCCCGCGCGCGGCCAATTCAGCCCGCGCGCGGCTCGTACGGCCCGCGCCAGGCTCGTGCTCGGCCCGTACAGCCTGCCCCAGCCGTCCCGCTTCACCACGAGCACCGCCCCCGCTGCTGCACGCTCTCCTGCCCCGTGCTGCCTGTGCTAGGGTTTGGGGGTGGCGATTGTCCGAATGTTATTATCTAGCCTGTAGTGGGGTGCTCTATAGTGAGCACAACCCTGTTAGGGTTTGCTATATGTATCCCAACTGCTGCTAGTAAAACCGCTCCTTTCTTCATTTCTCTCTTGCCTAGCTAGCTAACCCTAGCTATGGCTCCTCACTCTGCTTACTATCTTAACATCGATTATGGTGGTGACGGGTGTGTGAGCCGTCCCCTGCTCCTCCTCCTACTCCGTCTCCCACTGCTGCAGCTGCCGCTGAGGGGGGTGGATGTGTGGGAGCCGCGGGTGTGGCGCTAGGGGGGTGTCATGGGTGCAGTGCTAGAGGAACAGCAGGGAGTGTGTGAACGGGAGTTTTGGGACAGTGGGGGAGGTTGAAGGGGGGTGGCCGCCGTGAAGCCAGCAGCTCCAGTTGCCCGTGAGACCGTTGCGCCAGTCGCGCGTGAGCTCGTCGCTCCAGTCGCCTGTGAGCCCGTTGCTCCAGTCGCCCGTGAGCCAGTTGCTCCTGCCGCCCATCTAGCCGCGGAGCCAGTTGCTCCAGTTGTCCGTGTGCCAGTTGCTCCAGTTGCCATTGTGCCAGTTGCTCCAGTTGCCCGTGTGCCAGTTGCTCCAGTTGCGCCGTGTGCCGGCAGCTTCAGCTGCCGCCCACCACGTCCTCTCCTCTCATAGTCCCTCCTCCTCTTCACTTGCCCTCTGTGATAGCCTCTAGCTTCGCTTATCATTGTGAACTATTACTATGCCTGCTTGTTATGCTGATTGCTGGTGTTTGAGGTCGAAACTCAATTCACCCTCGAATCATATTGAGCCAAAGGGTGTGCACTTAGATTAGACCCAGAAAATCACTTTTACAATGTAGACCGCATTATTAAAGGCGCGGCATGCGGAAGTTTAGACGTAGTAGGACGTATGTTCGGATGCGTACGAAGAATGCGACGTAAGGTCACACGTCGACGCAGGAGACATCGCACGGACGCAATTCGTCGTCCGGACCAATAAGATCGAAAATATTTCACGCATAATGAATTGGAACCTCAGGACGCGTCACCTGAAGCGGATCGGCCGAAGATCGGCCGATCCGCACCAATCGTCATTTCAAGCCCAGGCTTGGCAGAGATCGGTGCCCATGACTGCGCAACTACGGCGCACCGATATACATGTGGTACACCCAACCTGCGAAAACAGCTCCGTTGTCATGCGCAATTTTCGCTAAACAAAACTCACTGTTTGCGACGTCGTGCAGTTACAATGCAACTGCAAGCGAAGACGATCGATCTTGACTGTCACTTGTGGCGGAAATTCCACACTGGGCCAACCAATTTCCCGTAGGTGACAGGTTCGTGGGGACATTTTTACTGTACATTCGTTAACCCTGGCGAGACTTTGTTACCTTGTGGATTACGACGCTACAGTGCTACACCCCGGGCGCAAAACCGATCTTCCAGCCGATCGATCCGCTTCAGGTGACGCGTCCTCATTGTGCTGAAGTATCCTCTCCATAATTGATCCAGGCCAGATCGTGTCGATACGACGTGTGAAAATGTAGGACCAGCACGTGCGACTCATTCGGGGTTTGCCGCAGGTGCTTCCATTCCATTGGATGGAAGGGCAATGCTGCTTTGGACACCGAACAGTTTTTTCAGGAGCATCTATCTTGGTGGATTGTCCCAAATCCACGTGCTGGCGGGGGGTACATCGTGGGGGAACGAGGTTAGCGAAAACTTTCCCTATCAATTGGGTGTATCAGTATGGTTCCGTTTAGTGGATGGCTCGTGAGAAGCAGGAGGACCCTTTGGATGGCTAGAGTACAGACCCCATCAGCGTGTGCTTTTTTTATGACACATACCGACGGAATGGAGTTCGTTTGCGGGGCTGGGTTGGAAGTACTCCTTTGGCTCACGTGTGTGCCCCCCCAAGCATGGGCTCACGTCGCTGGACACACCACCAGTCACCGCCTCACTGTGCTGTTCGCGTCAGGGAGGGTTGCATGGTGTACTGTATGGGTAACGCAGCAAGCAACTCCTGGCAATTTGCGGTGGGCTGAGGTGGGTCGGTCTCAGTTTGAGTGGGATTGGGTAGGTTGAGACGGGTAGGAGGGCGGGCGGAGTTGGGTATGGAATGGATTGACAGTGGTTGTGTTATGGATGGTACTGTACGATGGCAGACGTTAGGGCAGTGGTAAAATATGGTGCTCCAGATTGTTCAGAACTTTATGAATTATTCGATATATGTCAATATAATAAAGATCAAGCTCTTAACTCTCACCGCAGAGCGGATCAGGACGCTCGCGATATTCTTCCTGGTGGTGTGTGTTTTCTACAGAACTGTATTCTTCCTGTGGGACTAATACCTCCTCTGTGACTATAATCGCGCAATTACATAAACATTTTTATGAATGAAAAACTCACGCGTTTGGAGACAATCATTGGGCAGATGTGCCTGTCAGGCCACGCGTTTTCGTGTTGCGGGCAGCTGTTCTGTTCATTCAGCATCGCTTCGGTGCTTGCTGCAGCAGTTTCCTCGTCCAGAATACAGTTGATCTGTGTTCAAAAGGGAGATTACCTTGGTTTTTGTGAACAAATCGTATTTTTCTTTTGTGGGTGTTGAAGGATCTTGGTGCAGTGCAATCCAGTGATGAAGCAAAGTTTCAAGATGCACCAAAGCCAAAGCCACAACTCCAAAGGCGAAACTCGGCAACCTCGTGCATTGCTGTATCGAAGTCTGCCCAGCCTAATCTCAGGCTTGGCCCATGTGGCATTGCATGCACAGAACTCCCTTTTCCGAACCTCGATTTCTGCCTGGTTTGTCGTGCCCCAGTGGCTTTGTGAATCAGGGGCCAGTCATGAATGGGAGAGAATTGCTCCAAGCCCATGTTTGGAGATTCAGCGTTGCCCACGCGGCCACCAGTTTCTCGCGTGGCTCTCAAATTCAGTGACAATTGCTCGAGTGGCCTTGCCAGGGGATTTCCACTGGCTTTTTTTAAAACCGGCACATTGCCCTACACGGGTTTCTATCCTCGAAACTTATGTACTGGTGATTGCGCGATCTTCATTATCCAAAACTTATGTTCATGACCCTATATGACCGCGCCTGATTGGACGCGCATTTCAAAAAAAGGCACCGCGCATATAATTGACCAATCATGCGCGGTCATATAGGGTCACGAACATAAATTTCGGATATAAAAAGATCGCGCAATAGCCAATACAAAAGCTTCGATGATAAATACACATGAAGGGTAATGTGCCTTCTAAAAAAGACGTTGAGAATCCCCTGGCGAGGCCACTCGAGAAATTATCACTGAATTGGAGAACTACTCGAGCGAATGGTAGCCACGTGTGCAAAAACGAATCTTTAAACAAGGGTTTTGAGCAAATCTCTCCATGAATGGTATGGATGGACGGGAAGAGAAGGCAAGTGACATGTACGTCTCCCGAAGCCGAGGCTGAGGCCGAGCCCGACCACACACACACGAATGTCCTGTGGCATGCCAGTGGGAAGGAAGGACGTCGCACCTCGATTCGAGTCGAGCAAAACGACAGACGGACGTTTCTTGCCTTGGTTTGCGGTGTGCGTGTGAGCCAATCGGAGGAGTTCCTCGAGTCCCACATGTGCCATGGTCCCTCCATCAAGTGGCTAACGACAAAGACGGTTCAGTTGAGTTGAGTTTATCACTGCCTGGCTGACTGCCTGCCTGCCTGCTTGCCTGCCTGCCCTCACCTATTCGACCCACCCACCCCATGCAATGCAATCCCCTCTTCCCATCCCAAACCAAACGCTTCTTCATGAGTCAAGATTCCACAGCAATATTCCTTAGTCGAATTCCGGAGTGCTCCAGCTCGAGAGTGTTGGTTTATTTTGGGAGTCACTTGAGTGACCAGAAACCTGCTTGGGCAATCGTATCGAGTGCGGCTGCTTTTGACGACCAACCTGGTCAATAGTGTGATGGCTGGAAGGCCGTTATCTCCGTTTCTCGCGATGAACGACGCGCAGCAGCCTGCTAATCCCGCGGCAGTCGTCGTCGCCGCTAACCATCACGGCGGATCTCTTTCGACGATTCAGCAGCAAGCGTTGACGTCCGCGCTTATCCAGCACATGCAACAACAGCAACTACAGCAGCAGCAGCAGCAGCTTCTGCTTCAGCTTCAGCTGCAGCAGCAAACTCATCCGCCGCCACAACTTGCGGGATTTGAAGACCCTCAGCAAGTCGGTGTCTCGCTACAGCTCTTCCCTTCCGCGCCGCCCGCATGTCCCGGGAACGACGCGGAACTCCCTCGCGGCGGAGCTTCGGCGCGCGCCACTGAGCCCGACCTGCGCCTCAGCGTAGGCTTGTCGCTGGGCGGCGGCGGGGCGGCGGCGGTTGAAGTCGGCGCTAATAAGCCAGCGAAGCGGAAGAGAGCAGATGAGGTGCGATTCTTATATTGCAAAATCACTCGAGCTATGGTTCGTGTTTGAAGCGTCCGTATCGTCGCTTATTCGAGTCCTTCGTCTTCAGGCGTTTTCAACTGTTTTCAAGTGTCGTCAGATGTTCTGTCTCGAACCTCTTAAGAGGTTTTGCGATGTCATCCTGTGTCGATCGACGCGCTCTTCTCAATTCGACACCTCCCCTCCCGTTCGCGTCGCCGCATGCAGCTCCGTCTGATCTTGTCCCTTTGGCTGTCTTTTTAACCCTGCACGTGCAGCTTCCTCGCGCGCGAACTCCCGCGAGTTCGGGGGAGAACAGCAATCTAGACACCGCGGCCCCGCCTCCGCCCCCCGCCGCGCCGCGCCCCGTCTTCGCCTTTCCCCCTGGTGGCGCTGCTTCTGCCTCCCCGCATTGGTTGGCGACCGTCCCTCCCGGCAATACCGCGCACAAAACCGCGCCCCGTGCCCTCCAGTCCCCCCATCAAGCTGGTGGCGCAGCGCTACCCGCCACTCCGTCTCCGGACGACGTCCCAGGCGGGGGATGGATGGGCGCGGGGGATCGTCGCGTCCCGTCCGGCGCGGGTTCCCCTGGGGAGGGACGTGCTGGAGGGTTGAGCGGGCCTGGAAGCGCGGGGGGGTCTGGAGGGGAGCAGGACGAGGGCTTGGACGCGCAGGAAGCGGGGGGGAAGTCGTCCCGGCCGCGGACTGTTGCAGAGAGGAAGAGACGAAATGGAATTAGGTAAGCTTTGTGGAGCTCACTCTGACCAGAGCAACATAATAAATCACTTGGCTTGTTGTTTGTTGCATACAGGAGTCTGCTTATTGAAAATTCATGATTCCTTATCGTCTCAAACCTGTCTCTTATTGGTGGTGCGTGTTTGGGTGAATGTGCAGCCTGAAGCTAGAACAGCTGAAGAGGGCCATACCCCAGTGTAACACACGGGTGACGACGGAAACCCTTCTTTGTGAGACTTTGACTTATATCCAAGCACTCAAGGCTAAGGTTGAGGTGCTTCAAGCAGAAAAGGCTGAACTTCTTTCCCAAGCATTAGGAAGACAGGGGGAGGGCAATTAAAGATCTATAACGGATGTAATTTTTCAGTGAAATATAGATGTCCGGTTCATCTAGTAAAGTATTTATATATTCACTGAGCTACTAAGAGCTCCTGATCATAACACGTATCGTGGCATAAGATTGCACATGCATACTCCGACAACGTGCGCAGCGGGTTCAGCTATGGTTCTGTGGCAAATGTAAGATTCGGTCTGTTTGGCTGAAAGAAGAACTAGTGTACTGTAGAAAAGGCAGTCTCCAGCTGTCACGGTGACGTGGTTTCACCCTGTCTCCAAGTCCTCGCAAAGGGGGTGGCCTGCCATCTGAGGTGGCATCATGACACGTGCATCAGCTTGTTATCCAGCAAGCACCAGCTCACGCTGCACAGAGATCGCATCCACGAGATTTTTCCACCGTTCATTTCAAGGACCTTGGAGTTCCCAATGGGTTGCTTGCATCTCCAGCAGTCCTGCCCACCGTTCATTCCCAAGGCTCCTTCCCCCCAAAATTTCCCTGTCGCTCGATTTCTTGGCAAGGCAATCCCCAAGCTTCCGCTTCCGCTTTCCCGCTTCCGCTTCCTTGCTCCCGCTTTCCCGCTTCCACTTTCCCGCTTCCACACATCCCCCAACCCCCATCCAGCTTCCGCCTTCCCTCCACTCCACATCCTTCCTAGAAAAACTTATTTTTCCAGAAATCATTTCGGGTTCTTTCATTCGTTAGTCAGAAGAATCCGAGCGGTAAAGAAGACAGTTCCACAGTATTGCCGTTGCCGTCAACCTCCAGGTCCCGTGCGCTTCGTGCATACGTTAGCTCGGCTTTCCCGCCCGAGAAGCGCTATGGCGGCATTCGTCGGAGCAGCTGCGGTTGCGGCTCCAGTGCAGGTCCCTACCATAAAGCAACTATCGGGAGGGTCCAGTAGCAGCAGGAACAGCAGCGTTTCGGCGCGCTGTGCCGTGCCTAAGAAGCTCGGTTCCGAGATTCTGGGAACGCTGTTTTCCGCCACGTCAAGCGTGCAAGCAGCCTCGCAGAATGTTCGCGCGCGGTCGGTGGAGGTCCGAGCTGTGGCGACGGAAGCACCCACGAAGATGTCGAGAGTCGTGAAATGGGATCAGGAAAAGAGACTGCAGGTGAGCGCTCGATATTTTCACCCTTCCTGAGACAGACATCGGAGCTAATAGCAGGAAACTCGAAGTCTTTTGGTGTCTTCGCGTATTCGCGAAGCACGTCTTTTTCTAAAAGCAAATGTCGATGTGCTCAACTGTTCATGTATGTTTAGACCCCTACAGCCTTAAGTCACTCTCTGTCCAGTGTTTTCTTCTAGTCGTCAAGTATTTAACTTGTGCTTGTAATCCTCACGAATGCGTGACATCATCTCCGTACGACGCCCACATATTCCCACCTACAGACCCAGACGACCACCATCGCTGCGGATACGACCACCATTCGCTCTCTCGACTGGGACCGTGACCGTTTCGATATGTATGTCGCCTTGTCTGTGCGCGTAGGACCGCGTCTGTTGGCATGTGAATCTAGTTAGTCCTCATACGGGTAGGTCCCTCGTTATCGTCACAGACATCTGCTTTGTTCGCGCCTAGCGCACATAGCACATTAATCGACTTTCGCTTACCTGACCTTAGTTTCGTCCTCTGGGAAACACTTTTTGTTAACAATCTCAGCATGCACACTTGCGCAGCCTGGTTTGGAGCTACTTACCTCACATACACCTGTGTTCTGTTTCTGTAGGCCTTCGTCTCTTCCTCTTCTCTCACCGTGCAGCGAGTTCTTAATGAGCACCTTCGCTTCCGTGCACCCTCTCCTCTCTTACTTTTTTTTATATAATTCCTCCCTCTCTCACTCCCCCTCCCCCTCCCCTTCCCCTCCCCCTCACCTCACCCTCCGCTTCTCCTTCCCCTCCCCCTCCCCCTCCCCTCCCCTTCCCCTTCCCCTCCCCCTTCTTCCTTCCCCTTCCCCCTCCCCTCTCTTCTCTCTCCATGCAGCGAGTTCGGTCTTCTCAAGGGCACCACCTACAACTCCTACCTCATCCGCGGCGCCAACAAGGTCGCTCTAATCGACGCGTCGCACGAGAAGTTCCGCGAGCTCTACCTCTCCGCGCTTAAAGCCGAGATCGACATTAAAGACATCGACTACGTCATCGCGAACCACACAGAACCGGACCACAGCGGTCTGATCCGAGACCTAATCGAACTGAACCCCAACATAACCGTCGTCGGGTCGAAAGTGTGCATTCAGTTCCTACAGAACCTAGTCTTAAGGCCCTTTAAGAGCCTCGTGGCGCAGCCGGGAAAGATTCTGGATCTGGGCGGCGGGCACGAGCTGGATTTCATCATGGCACCGAACCTGCATTGGCCGGATACCATGTTCACGTTCGATAAAGGCACGGGCGTCATGTTCACCTGCGACGCGTTCGGCAGCCACTACTGCTCCGAGAAGGTGAGAGGGGATTCCCAGGGTCAAGGGGGTGTATTGGTGGGGAGGTGGGGTAAGGCCAAGCGGGGAAGCTGGGCGAAGGTGTGGAGGGGAAAGACGAGAAATTGGGAAGGGGCGAAGAGAGGGGAGGGCGGGGGTGGACGAGGTGGATATCATCATCTCTCTGCATCACCGCCTTACTGCGCCTGCCTCTCCACCCTCACCCCCACCCCTCCCCTCCCATTGCGCGCCGATGCGATTTCGTCGCCAGGTGTACGATGATGATCTGAGCGAGTTGGAGCCGCACTACCGCTTCTACTACGACTGCCTCATGAAGCCCAACTCGCGCTCCGTCCTCACCGCCCTGCGCAAGGTGCGTGCCGTGCCTCCACCGCTCCGCACCGCTCTTTAGAATCGTTCTCGGTTGCTCTGTTGCCTTGGCTTTGAGAATCCCATACAGCTTCCCTGCTTCTCTCCCTGACTCTCTCCCTGCCTCTCTCCCTGCCTCTCTCCCTGCCTCTCTCCCTGCCTCTCTCCCTGCCTCTCTCCCTGCCTCTCTCCCTGACTCTCTCACTGCCTCTCTCCCTGCCTCCCTCAACGACCTTCTCCCCTTTCCCACCGATCAAGGCTCTAATCGCCCATCAGGCGCAGGCCTAGAACGTGTCCTGACTGCCCCATATGCGCATAACCATTCGCCCATACCCTTCCCTTTCCCCATCCCCTCCCCTTTCCTCGTCCCCATCCACATCCCCGTCCCCGTCCCCATTCCATGCGCATACTTTTACCCATCGCCATACCCTTACCCTTCTTCCCACGGCAGGTGGCCACTGCGGGGTGGGAGTTCTCAAAGATCGCAGTGGGGCACGGCCCTCTGCTGCGCTACAGTGTGCCTGACTGACAACACATGCCCTTCCCATACCTGTTCCCTTCCCTTCACTTCCCTCTCCCCACGGCAGGTGGCCACTGCGGGGTGGGAGTTCTCGGAAATCGCAGTGGGGCACGGCCCTTTGCTGCGCTACAACGTGCCTGAGCTCACGCTCAAGTACGAGCAGTGGAGCAAGGCCGCCATCGAGAAGCAGAAGGTGAGAAACCAGTGCGTTTGGGTGCTCCCTTCTTTTCCTCCTCGTGTATTCTCCCTCGCCACTCCTCGTCCTCTCTCCTGCTCTCTTCTCCTTCACAACGTCTGTGACCTCACGCTCAAGTACAAACAGTGGATCTATCGAGAATTCTCAAAAGGCCGCCATCTAGAAGCAGAAGGTACGAGCTCACTGCATGTGGGCGCTCCCTTCCCTCCTCCTCCCTGTGTCTTCCTCCCACTGTGCCCCTCTCCCCCTCCCCCCCTCCTTCCCGCGCCCTGCCCTTTCCCCTTGCCCTGTCTTCCCCCCACCCATCCCATCTCAAAGCGTCATCTGTTTTCCCCACCTGCAACTCCCTTCACCCCGTCCCACCTCAACTCTCGTTCTCCCCACCACTTCCCCTCCCGTCCGCCCCCCTTTCTCAGTCGTCCATAGCAGTGCCGAACGCGAGCGACTACGGGTACAGCAACCGCCTCTCTCAGAGCATTATCTGTTTCCCCTATCTGCAGCTCCCTTCACCCCCACTTCCCACCCCGCCTCTCCCCCCGCACCCCCCACTCTCCCCCTCGCAGTTGTCCATAGCAGTGCTGTACGTGAGCGACTGCGGGTACAGCGACCGGCGGTCGCAGAGTGTCCTCTCTTTTCCTGTCTGCAACACCCTTCACACCGCCCCTCACCCATTCCCGCCTCCTCGCCCGCCCTTCCTCTCCCCCAAACCAGTCGTCCATAGCAGTGCTGTACGCGAGCGACTACGGGTACAGCGACCGGCTGTCACAGAGCGTCACCTGTTTTCCCTGTCTGCTACTCACTTCACCCGCCCCCAACCCAACCCCGCCCCCGCCCACCCTCGCAGTGGTCCATAGCAGTGCTGTACGTGAGTGACTGCGGGTACAGCGACCGGCTGTCTCAGAGCGTGGCGAGGGGCATCACCATTTTTCTCCTCGTCTGTGCACCCTCTCTTCCCCCGCCCTCCTCCCCTCTCTTCTCAGTCGTCCATAGCAGTGCTGTACGTGAGCGACTACGGTTACAGCGACCGGCTCTCGCAGTGCATCGCGCGCGGCATCACCAAGGCGGGGGCGGGCGTGGAGATGATGGACCTCAAGGCCGCCGACACGCAGGAGCTCGTGGAGTGCATCGGCCGCAACGCCGCTGTCGTGCTCATGATGCCCCCCACCACTGGCCCTGCCGCCGCTGCTGTTGCCCCGCTGGTGGCCGGAATCAAGGCCAAACAGGTGTGTGGATGATTGGGGGAGAGGAGAGGGAGGGAGGGAGCAGGTGGGCGGGGGCTTAGAAAGCTCTAGTGGAGGTGAATCAGAGGAGGGAAGGGTTTGAGCAGGGTGTGAGGTCTTTCCCCAAGGCGGGGGCGGGCGTGGAGATGATGGACCTCAAGGCCGCCGACACGCAGGAGCTCGTGGAGTGCATCGGCCGCAACGCCGCTGTCGTGCTCATGATGCCCCCCACCACTGGCCCTGCCGCCGCTGCTGTCGCGTCTCTTGTCGCTGGCATCAAAATCAAGCAGGTAAGCAGGGGAATGGGTGGGTGGGCGGATGGCTGGGGTAGAAGTGGAGAGATCAGGCGGGTGGGTAGGTGGGGGAGAGGAGAGAGAGGGAGGGAGGGAGCAGGTGGGCGGGGGTTTGAAAGGTAGTTTTGAGTCGACTCAAAACTATGAAAACTGTGTAGAGATGAATCAGAGGAGGGAAGGAGGCCGTGAAGGAGAGCAATCACCAAGGCGGGGGGGGGGGTGGCCCACTTGTTTGTCCCCTCTCGTTCTCCCTCACCCCCCTTCATTTCCCCCCCCAACAGCCCGTGCGTCTCTGTGAGTCTTACGGGACGATGAGCCTATGCGCAAGATCCCGGACTGCTGTGAATCCTTTCGCCCATCTTGCCCCGTTATCCGCTTGTCCCTTTGTCCCCTTGTCCTCGATGCCCCCTCTCTGTCCCCTCCAACAGTCTGTGCTGCTGTGTGAGTCATATGGAGGTGACGATGAGCCGGTGGACACACTCATGTACAAGTTCAACGACCGCGGAGTCAAGATGCCCATTGAACCCCTACGCATCAAGGAGCCGCCCACTGAAGCTGTGTGAGTGAGATGAGGGGCTTGTAGTGGCGAGGGCCCTTACGGCGATGAAGGGCTTGAGGATGCTGAGGAAGGGCTTGAGGATGCTGAGGAAGGGCTTGAGGATGCTGAGGAAGGGCTTGAGGATGCTGAGGAAGGGCTTGAGGATGCTGAGGTGTGGTAGTGTGATGACGATCCGCGCGACACGCTCATGTACAAGTTCAACGACCGCGCAGACAAGATCCCCATTGAACCCCTCCCAATCAAGGAGCCGCCCTCCGAGGCTGTGTGCGTGATCAGAGAGACAGAGTGTAGTAGGCTGCTGTGGCTACAGTGGATATAGTGTAACAAGGGGCTGTAGCAACCTTTGACGCGCCCGCTAAGTCAAGGTGCCCCTCCAGCCCCTCCGCATCAAGGATCCCCCCACCGAGGCTTTGTGAGTGATCACAGAGAGAGAGCGAGTGCGGTGTGGTGAGGGGCTGTAGTCTAATACACGGGCCACCGTGTAATGGGGGGCTGTAGCAACCTTTAAGGCGCCTCAAAAGCCACTGACCGTGGAGTCTAGATTCCCCTCGAGGCACTTCGCGCCAAGAAGCCTCCCGCTGAAGCCGTGAGAGTGAGGGAGAGGGATTGCAGAGAGGCACCAGGGGAGACAACCTCGAGTCCCTGTTGCAACAACCATCCCTCAAGAAATCAGAAGTGTTTTGAGACGTCTCAAAACAGAGGGATTGCAGAGAGGCAGCAGAGGAGACAACCTCGAGTCCCCTGCTTCAACATCCATCCCTCAATCCTCCCCGCCCACCCTTCACCTTTCCTCCCTCTTTTATCACTTGCAGGTACCAGCTGTTTGAGGAAGCGGGCACGGATCTTGGGTAGAGGCTGACACAGAAGGCGGTGAGGGAGGAGACGAGGCGCAGCATGTCTCTGGCGGTGTCATAAGTCCCCCGTCCCAACCCCGCTCTCTTCCCTCGCAACCTCATTCCCCCCTGCTGTCATGACTGCAGGTACCAGCTGTTTGAGGAGGCGGGCACTGACTTGGGGCAGGGCCTGACACAGAAGGCGGTGAGGGAGGAGACAAGGCGCAGCATGCCTCTGACGGTGGCCAAGGCCATTGCTCGTGTGTCGGGGGGTCTGTACGTGGTGACGGCCTTGAAAGGGTCCTCCAAGGGTGCTATGATCGCCTCCTGGGTCTCCCAGGTGCGTGCTGTTTGTGTGTGGGTCTGCATGCATGTGTGAGTGTTCATGTGTGGGGCTGTATGTGTCGGGGAGTCTGTACGTGGTCACGGCTACCAAGGGGGTCCTCCAAGGATGCTATGATCGCCTCCTGGGTCTCCCAGGTGCGTGCTTTGTGGAGGGGGGGAGTGGGTCTGCGTGCACGTGGGGATGTGTGTCGGGGGGCCTGTATGTGGTCACGGCTATCAAGGGGTCCTCCAAGGGTGCTATGATCGCCTCCTGGGTTGCAAAGTGTGCGTGTATGTGTCTGTGCGCGCATGGGTGTGGATGGAGTGAACGGGAAGAGGGGGAACGGGGGAAGGCTTGGGGGGAATGTACACGTGCATGTGTGGTGACCTGGCTGTGTGTATTGCATCCGGGTGTGTGTGCATGTGGGCCTGCGTGTGTCTCAGTATCCACCCACCCCACCTCACCTACCTGTCTCCAATATGCTTCCACTTCGCCCTGCTCTCTCTCTCTCTCTCTCTCTCTCTCTCTCTCTCTCTCTCTCTCTCTCTCTCTCTCTCTCTCTCTCTCTCTCTCTCTCTCTGCCCACGCCAGGCGAGCTTCAAGCCATTGGGCATCACCGTTGCTGTGGCCAAGGACAGAGCCATAGAGTCGCTCATGCAGGTGAGGCTTGCATGGGCGCAGTTGTGTGGACCAGGCTGGGATGGGCTGGGATGAACAGGGCTGCGGCTGTCTGACCAGACAGTAGGAAATGCCAGTTGCATTGTATGTACCCTCAATCTAATCTCAGTGACGTATGTTGAATACTTGGCCAATCCCGTTCTTCTAGGCCTCCCATTTCTCTACCCTGTCTCGACACCCATTTGCACCACTCTCTACCCCTCTCCTCTGCACGCAGGTGGGCGACTCCTTTGTGCTCAACTGTCTTGAGGAGGGCAACTTCGCCCCTCTCATGAAGCACTTCCTCAAGCGTTTCCCCCCTGGCGGTGAGTGTTGCTCCTTTTCGCCATAACCTTATCGTCTTTCTCTCCCTTCCCCTCCCTCCCCCCACCCCTTCCTCTCCCATTCTTGCGGGCTATGTCTCGTGGGGTAGGTAGCCAACACAAGCATGCCGTACAGAAATTTGAGTGACTTAGCAATGAAACCTGGCCATGTTTACCCCAGTCCTTCTGCCCATGCCATGTCTCAACTCCCTCTCCATGTCATCCCCTAAATGATCATCCAGCTGATCGTTTCGAGGGAGTTGACTGGGACCCAGCCAGCAACGGGTCGCCTGTGCTGGCAGGATCGCTGGCGTTCCTGGAGTGCACTGTGGTCAGCCGCATGGAGACCAACGACCACTGGATCACGTATGCTGAGGTCACTGCAGGGAAGGTGTCCAAGCCTGAGGGCCGCACTGCTTCTCACCACCGCAAGCTGGGCGATTATTATTAGACACGTGTAGGAACATTGAGGTTGGCTTCTGAGATACAATAGCCCAATAATCTGCAGTGTGCCAATGGTTTGTATATTTATGAGGGAAACTATGGATGTGGTACTGTTGGCAATTTGCAGAAAGATTGTGGTTCTGAAGTAATTAATGCATGCACACTACGCTCGAGAATGATACAGTTTATGCACACCAAAAAATTGTAATGGATAAATATGGCCAATGAACACGCAATTTAGCCACATCATGTCTGAATGCACACAACACACAAATGCTACCCACCTATGCACAACATACAGACAAGCCAAAAGACCCTAACCTACGTCCCCAAAACACCTCAATTTCGGCTCAAGAGCTTGTGCTACGCCGACATCCAAGAATGGTATGTACAGCGGCGGTGTCTGGCGAAGCACATGCTGTCTGAGGTCCAGCAGTCTCAACCCTATGCCCTATGTGTAATGGTTGTCACGTTAGCTCCTGTCGTATGATCGACGCGTCAGTCACTCCTTGCAGCTTCGTCTTCGTCGTCGTTAACCCAATCAGTAGATTCGCCACAACTCCAAACATTGGAGTACTTTGCCAGCGCACTCCTCTTCGGCGGCGGCTCTCCTCTGCCGACTCGCCAATCTCGCTGCTTGAGAGAAGGTTTTCTTGTTGTACTCTCGAAAAAAACCAGGATTTTCTTTCTCAAGGGCATTCCAAACTGCGAAGAACAAGAAAGGCACAAACAACGAGATCGTGAGCAATGGTACGCATCAAAATGCAAGCTCGATCAAACTCCCTGCAATATACATACCTGCAAGGGTTATGGCCGGCTTGATCCTTGCACTTCTGGCGAGACTCGCAATGCATTCGGCTTGGCTCAGTTCTAGCACGAGACACCGCTCTATCAAGTGCTGAATCTGCGATACAACAACGACAGCTGTCAGAACTGAGTATTGAGAAACTGGAAAGTGCTGCTACAAAAACGTAACTCGAATAAAAATGATCGTACCATAAGAACGTACGTGCCGAAGTCCTCTTTGTGAGAGGGACATGGGCTAGGCGTCACGACATGTTCGACAGCTATCTCCATCGAATAGAATATTTAGCACAGCAGGCGGTGTCTGAACAATTGAGGTACGGAGGAAAGTTAGTCAAAACTATCTACAAGCCCGATTCAGCCTTCTGCTGGCCCAGCACGAAACACTACGACGCTTTGTTTGGGTGGGATGTGCGGCATGGTGTTGCTGGTGTTGCTTCCCTTTCCTTCCCTTCCCATCCCATTCCACCCACTTCGAGCCCGAGTCGTCGTGACCAGAAAGAAAGTACACGCAGATCGTCCTTTTCCCCGCATTGCTGCCGCAATATCTCCAGCAAATTGGATCTGACGAATGAGAGAGCAGCCCTCCAATCGCGTGGATAAGAGGTTCAAGGGAGTTCACCAACAGTTTTTTCCACGGAGTGAATCTTTCGCTCGGGTGATCCCGCTTTTCATTTGTTGAAAGAGATGGGGTCGTGGCGACGTGGTCAGCCATTCACTATCCAGGCGTCCACGCTGGACACAACAGCGTCACGCTGTGTCACAGCAAGTGACTGCTAGGGTGTCACGAAGAACCACCAACCAGGCCTCCCCTGGTTTTCTGGGGCATCGTGGAATTCCTGGGTCCCCCCTTCACCCAGCCCGACCTTGGCAGCTGGTGCAAAGAACATGGTGGATGAGAAGGAATTGTGAGGTTAGGCACAGACGAAGAGTTAATTTTGAACACGCCGTACGGCAATCAATCAGTCCGGATTCCCAGTAGGGTTAAAATCGTCCGATGGGGAGGGAGGTGGGGGGGGGGGGCTTTGCGCAAACCAACAGCTGGACCACACCACACCGTACTCCAGGGTGGCGGTTTTAAGGGTGTATATCTTCTTCAGCATAATGGGGCTGTAGTGTACCCACTCTCCAGCATCACACAAATACACATGATGCTCACCCCGTGCACGCGAATTTGCCTTGCGCCGGATGGACACGCTGCACCCGAGGTTGTTTCCCCAGCCTTATGCACCCACATTACAAGCTCGTCAAGCAGAAGAGACCGAAGTCAAGGTCAACGCGACTGAAGTCAAACAAGGTTACTAGGTAGCAGAGTCTTGTTTATAAGCACATGCGAATTCTATTTAGCCAGCGGCGAATTGACGAAATTTATGCGAACTTCTCGTGACACGTTATACGCCCCCTTCACAAGGCAACCGGGAGGGGCTCAAACAGGCATCAGGAGTAGTGTAAGGCGTAGTTGAACTGTAGTTTAATTTCGCAGTGCCTTCGTGGATAAGATGGCGTCACCTCACATCACGGGCGCGGGGCGTGGCGTCCCTCCCTCCCTACCTCTGTTCAAATCAAACGAGAAACGGAAGAAGCATCCAGAGAACAGAATCCACACGCAACAGCTGGGCTGAAAGATTTGGCCCACGGCCAGGTTGAAGCTTGAACAGTGCAGTATTTAAGTCCCATTTAATGCTGGCGCCAAATCCGGGTTGCCCACACACGGTGGTGTACTGTTCCGCGTTATTGTCAAAACGGAAATATAACGTCGCTGAAGGCGGTGGTTGCTACATTGCTAAACGTACCACATATGCTGAACGGGCAGATATCACGAATCCCTATGGTTTTAATTCTATCAGAACCACTTATAACAAAAATCTATCAGAACCACTTATAACAAAAAAAAAAGCATAACCACTCTGCTTTGCAACCACAGGATATAGCATAAGACGCAAGTTATGCGTTAAAGTTACGCAAGCTGCTCAGGACAGGGGTATCTCATGAGCTCTTTTGGGGCCAAATGGCAGATGGCCTTGGGATACTTCATGTGCATGTGTCATGCTTACTCCATGCCTCACACTAAGTTTCTGGGACGTGCCGATCCCCAATCCCTTTTCTTTACCCCCTCCCCCTCCCCTTCCCCTCCCCCTCACCCCTCGTCTCCCTTCCAACACCCCTTCCCCTCGCATCCCATTCTCTTGCTCTGCACTCTGCTTAGGTTGCCATACACTCGGTGCTCCTTTATAAGCATTCCCTGGATTCGCTAAAGGCTGGCCACCAGCAGTGGCGCACCGCCTGATGCTAATTTCCATTGGACTGCAATTCCCATCACTGGCGGCTGTTTCTTTAGCACTGCTGCTGGGGCTGCTACCGAAGCTACTGGCGATGCTGCTGCTGCTGGCAATACTGCCGCTCCCATACTTGGTGCTTGCATTGTTGCCACTGTTACTGGTGTGCACCATCCCTACCAGCCCCCTGCTCCTGCTGCTGCCGCCTATGCTCTTACTCTTCACCATCCTACCCGGAGCAGCAGCACTGGGCACATCAGAAGCACCAGCAGCAACAGAATCACCAGAACAGAAACCATAACCGCCAGTCGCACCAGCTGCACCAGACGCACAGGCACCAGCAGCATCCGCAGCACCAGCAACACCGGCAGAACCGGCAGCAGTAGCAGTAGCAGGAGCAGAAGCAATGGCAACAGAAGCACTGGGAGTGCGAGCAGAATCGCTCCCAAACCCACTGCTACCCCAAGGGGGATTCTGGTCACAGTTACCAGTAACATGCCTGCAAGGGGGATGCTGGTCACAGTTACCAGTAACATGCCTGCAAGGGGGATGCTGGTCACAGTTACCAGTAACATGCCTGCAAGGGGGATGCTGGTCACAGTTACCAGTAACATGCCTGCTGCCACCCTTGAGATTGCCGACCATTGGGCCACTGCCCATGTGATTGCCACCCATAAATCCGCCCCCCGTTGAATTGCCTTTACTCGAATTGCCCATCACTAGATCCCCAACCATAAGTCTGCCACCCCTGCTGTTGCCGCCGTTGCTGTTGCTGTTGCTGTTGCTGTTGCTGCTGCTGTTGCCACAGTTGCTGTTGCTGCTGCTGTTGCCGCTTTTGCTGTGGCTGTTGCTGTTGGAGCAGTGGGCAAGCCAAGCAGCAGAGTGGGACATCGAAGGCAGTGCTCCCATGGGGAATCCTTGAGACCTCTCAAGGGCACCATGGCACACCATCGAAGGAAGTGTCCCCATTGACGGGCTCTTCCTGTGCCTCCCTCCTGCTACCCCTCTCCCTGCTGCTCCTCCCCCCTCTGCTGCTACCCCTCTCCCTGCTGCTCCTCCCCCCTCTGCTGCTACCCCTCTCCCTGCTGCTCCTCCCCCCTCTGCTGCTCCTCCTCTCCCTGCTGCTCCTCCCCCCTCTGCTGCTCCCCCTCTCCCTGCTGCTCCCCCCTCAACGCCCACAGAAGCACCTGACTCGCACGCCACTCTCCCAACCACAGCCCCAACCCTAGATTCCCCAGAGGAACATGCACTCCTACGCACAGCACTAGACGCACCCTGAACAGAAACTGCCTGCTTTGGACACGTCTCAAGGGCACGCGAATTTGCTCTTCCAGTCACTCCTCCCATCCTGGCAGCACCACCAGCTGAAAACAAAGTCCCTGCTGACGTGTTACAGCTAGTAGGGCTGCTGCTGCTGCTTCTTCTGTTACCACTCCTGCTGTAACTGCTGCTGCTGGTGCTGCTGCTGATGGTGCTGTTGCCGTTGCTTGAAGTGAGTGGTCTGTTGCGAGTGTTGGTTGTGCGGCTCCTGGTGATGGTTCCAGGGGATTCCAGAGCGGTGCAGCTCGGTTGGAGGGGTAAATGTGCCGAGGGGGTGGAAGAGAAGGAGCGTTGGAGGGGCGAGGGGTAGTGTGGGGGGCGGAACGGGGAGCGGTGGAGTGAGGGAGAGGAAGAGTGAGGGGAGGAGTGGGCAGAGGATGAGGTGGAGTGAGGGGAAGAAGAGAGGGTGTGAGGGGAAGAGGAGAGAGCATGGGGGGAGTTTTGCGGGGAGGAGTGAGGGGCAGTATGCGGTGCAGTGTGGTGCAAAGCGGCGCGATGGAAGGAGGAGAGAGAGGGATTGGGAGATGGGGAGGGATAGTCGGGCATGCGAACGGGAGGACGAGGAGAAGACTGATAAGATCCTGCAACACCCACACCGGCACTGATAGCGGGCGCAGCAGCAGCCGCTGCACCAGCAGTGGAAGTAGAAGCAACAGTGACACCAGCAGCGGCAGTGGCAGCAGTGGCAGGGGCAGAAGTGCTGGCAGAGGAAAAAACACTCTTGATGGTGCTTGCAGCCTTGCGAGGCGACACTCTCTTCCAAGGGGTGGCAGGGGTAGCAGGTGCGGACGTGCTGACGGGTGCAGCAGGGGTGGCAGGCTTGAGAGGTACAGCAGGTGCGGCATCTCTCCCTGTGTGGCTCGGGTCAAACGCAGCAGTAGGCACAGCAGAGCGGGTGCGGACAGGACACTCATCCGCCTGAGACGCCCACACCGTTTCCCTCAGGTCCAGAGACAGGGACATGCGCCGTCGCACCCTCTCCCTCCCCTGCTGCCCCTGCCCCTGCCAATGCTGCTGCTGCCTCTGCTGCTGCTGCCAATGCTGCTGCTGGCGTTGATGTTGTTGCTGCCCCTGTTGCTGCTGCTGCTGCTGCTGCTGCTGCTGATGCAGTTGCTGTTGCTGTTGCTGCTGCCCCTGATGCTGCTGACGTTGCTGCTGCTGCCGGTTCTGCAGCTGGTGTCGATGCTGCTGCCATTGCTGTTGTTGCTGCTGGCTGTACCGTTGATGCTGTGAGGTGGGCAGCTGCTGTGCGGATCGGTGCGGAGAGGTTGGGTGCGGTGAGGTTGAGTGCGGTGAGATCAAGTGTGGTGAGGTTGAGTGCTGTCTGGTTGGGTGCGGTGCAGTGCGGTCGATAGCAGCAGCTCCTTCCTGTTCGGTAGCCCACACTGTTTCCCTCAGATCCAGAGACAGAGACAAAAGACGTCGCACCCTTGGGTTCAAACGCTGCTGCTGCGGCTGCTGCTGTTGCTGCTGCGGCTGCTGCTGTTGCTCCTGGTGCTGCCGCTGTTGCTTCTGGTACTGTTGTTCCTCCTGCTGCTGCTGCCGCTGCTGCTGCTGCTGCTGCTCCTGGTGGTGGTGGTTTGGCTGTTGACGCTGCAGGATTGGCGCTTCCTGTGGGTTCACCTGGTGTTTTATTTGCTGTTGCACGCACCGCTTCTCACCATTCCCAAAAGCTGCAGTGGTCTCTGAACTGGCCGTAAAGCGGTGCTTGGGAGACGGAGTGGTAGAGGGAAGAGGGGAAGGAGAGAGAGGCTGAGAGGAGTGAGAGAGAGAAGCAGCAGGAACAGGACTGCTTGAGAGAGAAGAAGCAGGAACAGGACTGCTTGAGAGAGAAGCAGCAGGAACAGGGAGCAACTTTTGAGACGCTTCGAAAGTTGAGGGAGAGGGGGGGTGGGAGGAGCAAGAGAGAGACGCAGGGGTAACGGGGAGCGAGGAGGAGGAGGGGAACGGGGAGGAGGGGAGGGAGGGAGAGATGGGTGAGGACAGGGGTTTGCCAGGAAAGGGGGAAAGCAGTGCGGAAGAGGAGTGGGAGCGAAGGGCCAAGCGGGCAGAAGGGGGGTTTCGAGGAAGCTCAGATGCTTGAGAGGAGGTTGGCGTGTGAGAGGGGGAGGACGTGTGAGACGAGTGAACGGACGTGTGGGGGAAACGGGCGGGGTTGCTTAAAGCGCGGGGGGATTTCAGAGGCGCCTCATGTGTGGCGCGGGGGGAAAGGGGGGGGAGAGCGGAGGACTGGGGAGACGGGGGGTGAGGAGAGGGGAGGTGGGGGGAGGGCGGGTGGGGAGAGGGCGGTTGGGATGACAAGGGGCGGGGCGAGCGAACGTGAGGAGAGGAGGAGCGGTTGCCAGAGGTAAGGGACAGGGAGGACGCGGTTGAAGGGTGTGGAGTGCGGTGCAAAGGGGTAAGTTGTGCAGCGTAGCGGGGGGAGAAGTTTGCAATGGCGGAACGGGGGGAGATTGCCCCCTGTGCTTCCGCGCTGCCTCTGGCGCATTCCCCCTCTGCCCTGCCCCCGCCTCGCCCTCCAGTCGTCTCTACCTGCGCACTGGCAGAACAGGGGGATCTTTCCCCCTGTGCTTCCGCGCTGCCTCTGGCGCGCTCCCCCTGCGTCCTATCTGCCCCTCCCCCTCTAGTGGACGCTACTTGCGCACTGGTGGAACAGGAGGGGCTCGTCCCCCCTGTTTCCGCGTTGCCCCTAGGGTAATCCCACTGCGCTCTAACCGCTCTCCCCCACCCCCTGGGAGACGCCTGCGCGCTGGCGGAGCGGGGGGATCTTATGGCGGGAGGCGCACAGCTGGGGGGAGAGGGGCGGGGGGAGGGGAGCGGGGAGGCAAGCGGGGAGGCGGAAGGACAGGGGCGGGGAGAAGGGAGAGGAGAGGAGAGAGGAGAGGAGAAAGGAGGTGATGCCGCTGCTGGTGCTGGTGGTGCTGGTGGTGCTGTTGGTGCTGTTGGTGCTGTTTCTTGTAGTGCTGCTGCTGCAGCTTCACGCGTTTCAGCAGAGAAATCGCGGCGATCCGAAGCAGCAGCTTCAACGGCAGCAGCAGAAGCGGCAGGAGGGACGGCAGGAGGGACGGCAGGAGGACCAGCAGAAGTAGCACGAATGGTAGACGGGGAGAGCAAAGGGGAGGAGTGCGGGGGAGAGTCCGGGGGAGAGTGTGTTCCCAGCACAATTTCACCCAGCCTCGACTCAAAGCCCTCCAAGGCTCGACACACAACCTCCTGGCAATCCTGCAGCACCCCTGCCAAGCCTGACGGACAGGCTCGGGGAGAGGAGGCGGCTTGGGAGGACGGGGGAGGCTCGGAAGAGGTGACGAGCTGGGTCGGGAGTGAGAGGGGAGTGTGCGATTGGTTTGGGCTGGTTCGGAAAGCGTAGGGTGTGGCATTGGAACGGGGAGAGAGAAGAGGATAGCGCATGGGAGCAGGAACAGGAGCAGGAGAAGCAGAAGCAGCAGAAGAAACAGCAGGAGGAGCAGCAGCGGGAGGAGTAGGGGGAGCGGTTAAAAGAGGGAGAGACGGAGCAGGCGGGAGAACAGCGGCAGAAGTGACGGCAGCAGAACCAGCGGAAGCAGGGGCAGCAGCAGCGGCAGTAGCGGCAGTAGCGGCACTGGCAGAGTTGTTTCTGGAAGAAAGAGCAGGGGGGGAGGAGGAGCAGGGGGAGCGAGGGGAGGAGGGGTTGGTAGACGGGGAGGAGGCGGAGAACGGGGAGGTTGGGGCGGAGGAGAAGGAGAAGGGGGAGGAGGCGGAGGAGGAAGGGAGAGAGTGGGGGGAGAAACCCATAGAGGGGGAGAGGGGGAGGGAGAGGGGCAGTGAGAGGGGAAAGGAGAGCGGACTTTTGGGCGGCAAACATGACACCCGGGCAGCCTGAAATTTGTTTGTTGCGCCGCTGGTGCTGCCGCTAGTGCTGCTGCTGCCGCCGCTGCTGACGGTACTAACGGTGCTCCTGGTGCTGTTACTTGTGATGGTGATGGCGGTGGTGGTGGTGGCGACGCCGCTCCTGCTCTTGCTTTTGCTGCTGCTAGCACTGCTGCTACTGTTGCTCCCGCTGCTGTTGCTCGTGCTGCTGCGGGTGGTGCAGCTGCTGCCGCCCATCCCGTTGCTGGTAATGCTCGTAGCGCTGCCCGCGCTGCTCGTGCGGTTGAACAGCTGCGCGCACTCCGCCCACTCTCCCCCGCCCGCTGCCCCCCCGCCTGCTGTTCCCCCGGCCGCACCCCCCTCTCCAGCTGCTCCCTTGGTTAAAATACTCAAAGCACCTCGCGTTCCTGCCCCTCCTCTCGCCACGTCGACACCGCTCGCCACGTCGACGGCTCGAGCCACGTCGACACCGCTCGCCACGCTTGCTACAATTCCGAAACCATGGCCCCTCCGATTGCCTGCCGCATTCCCAGCCAACGCTACAAGAGCAGAATCAGCACTACCAGCACCCCCACTAGCAACGGCAGCACCGGCACCAGCAGCAGCAGCAGCAGCAGCAGCAGCTGCAGCAGCACCATCGGCACCCCTTACACGGCTCCCGTTGCCGCCTCGCTTGCTGCTCCACCTACTGCTGCCGCTGCCACTGCCGCTGCCGCTCCCACTGCCGCTGCCGCTGCTACTACCGCCGCCGTTACTGTCACTCCCGCTGGTAGACCTACAGACGCGCATTTCCACGTCGCTTTTCCCCGCCACCCCTCCCCCCCCCTCACCCACGCCATCTTGCGCAGAGTCTCTCCTCTCCTTCCCTCCTCTTCCCCCGCCTCTCCCTCCCCTCTCCCCTCTGAATCCTCGTCCCCCTCGTCCTTTCCGCCCGCCTCCCCGTCCTCCGCCACACCCTCCGCCAAACTCTCTGCTTCCGCCTCTTTCACCCGCATCGATTCCGCTGCCCACCTCTCCGCTGCGCCGCCGCCCTGCCACTCCTTCCGCTCCCTCCGTGCTGCGCCGGCCGCTCTCCTCAACCTGAAACGCGCACCGCGCGCCGCGCATCTCCTGCGCATCCTGCTCCCCGCGCATACGCGTGTTTACCTCACTTCGCGGTGATAACGTCTCCCCATTCCCCCCTAGTGCCGGCGCACGTGCGGAGAACGAGTCAGCGGACAGCATCGAGCCTGCCGACGCACGTGCGGAAAATTCCAACTCTGTGTTTGCACATGCGGACAAATCTGAATCTGCCGGCGCACGTGCGGATGGCTCCAGCGAGCCGGTCGTCCTTGTCGCGTTGCTCAAATAGAGGCTATTCGAGACGACGCGACGCGAATTATAGGCAAAATCGTTCAGAGTCCCCATGTCGCCTCGCTAAAAAACCCTCGCATGCAGGTTCCGTCGATGCGATGCCGTAGGGGGGTGAGATTCGAGTCTGATTGAAACAGAACTCGGCAGCGCAGTGAATTTCGAAGGCGACAAGTGCTTCTCGAGATTCGCGAGATCTGGTTGAGTCGTCTCGTACGCACCCTCGGCAGTGCAGTGAATTTCGGATTCTTGAGAGTCGCAGTTCCAATAAACGCGGTCGTGGGATTCGCTAACGCCCAGAGACCCGAGCAGAGTAAAATCCATCGGCGGGGAAATACTGGGGCGGATAATTACTCCCGGCCGGAAGAAATGACCGGACGATTCTTTATAAAATGTTCCGCTTTCTTTGTCTTATCGGCATATTAGGCTACGGCGAGCCAACTAGGTCAAACGATATTTGATAGATCAGGACGATCGAAGCAGGCTAGAGGACTCGTCTAACCCTAATTGTCTGATACTGTACGTAGTGAACGAGAGGCAAGAAGTTGTCACCGAGATTGCGAGGTAGAGAGAGATGCTCGCGACGCGATAACTGACTGACGGCAGCGCACACCATTGTGGCGGGGCCAGGAGGAGGACACTGGCATTGTCTCCTCCACTACACTCTCACTCTCATCTCGTCTTGTTGCTGCTGCATTTCCTGCTGGCGATGCAGCTGCTGCTCCTGCTTTTCCTGCTGCTGATGCTGCTGCTCCTGCTGCTTTTCCTGCTTTTGCTGGCTAGGTGGATGAACAGCAAGATTCATGGGAGTGAGCTAGACTGTGCGAGGACGAAGGGGAGGAAAATTGGGCGAGGTGGAAGGGGGAAGCGAGCGGGAAGGAGAGAACGGGTTGGGGGAACAGGGGAGGAGGAGGAGGGGGGGGGGGGGGGGGGGGGGGTGTTGAGAGGGAAGGGTGTGCGATGCTGCTGTAAGCAGGAGTTTATTGAGGGACTAGATTGGCTTCGAAGGTTTCCAGAACGTTCTGGAGGTTTTCCTGAAATACGATTGCCATTTTTTCCTAGGTCTTTTGTGTGCTGATAAGTTTTGTTCGTTCTTACTGACCTCATGTGGAAATGGATAGTTCATCTTGTCAACGCCCACCGATTGGTGCAGAGCATTTTGTTTGCTGCCCCTCCAACTCGTAGGCGTTAGCGCGTGAGACATGTGGTGCACGCAGGGCCGGGGCACAGAAGGACCCAAATTTCGTCGAGATCTTCTTCGCGCAGCGGAAAGGGGCCAGGTGGTGGGGAAGAGGGCAAAACTGTCAACACTTCCCCCCTGCATTCGCCAAGGTTATCCAGTTGCACAAGCTCGGCAAGCCGCCGCCTCTTCGAAAACGACAAATTCAACACCCCCTTGTGTCAGACTGGCACTCCTGAGATGTGAACAAGCCATGCTAGTCACGTCAAGCTTATACACCATATGAAGGAATTTATACATCCTCTAACCAAACTGTCAACGTCAAATCATCCATCTTATCATCATTTAAGTCTACCTTGGCACACCTTTGCCTCCTCAGGTTTGGTCCTGGCCATCCCATGTGATTAGGCCCCCTAACCATCCGCATGGGCCCTTGAGGTCTGATTATGCGCGCTGACATCACCTTCGAAATGGCAAGAGGGCAGTGGGAACGATCAAGCCTGCGTAAGAACGATGTGCGATTGTACACGCTAACCAAAGCTGCACTTGGATCCTTGATATGAGAGGTCTTGTCGGCGTCCGTTTTCCCCACATGTGTTGCATACATTGTAAAGGGCAAGGCACATAACTCGTGCGGAGGAGCATCGTCCTGCAAGGAGAAATCAAATGAAATGAGACTTATATGGCAAACAAAAGGGAGAAAAGGTGGAAAATCAGCACCACACATGCTTACAGATATTCCCCCCCCCTTTCCACGATACACACTACACGTGCACCTCGTTCCTCGCCCATGCAACCCCCTCCATTATTACTCCCTCCCCTTCCCCCCCCCTCACCCCCCCCATCCCACCAAAACCGCACATATGCACACACACACCCACCCACACAATCACGCTCACACATACACACACACTCAACCACCAAACATCCCCACACAAACCTACACACCCACACCCATGTACCTCTTTTACTGACCCACAGTCCCACCTTCGTCTCCCCCTTCCACACACACACCCACACACTCAACCACACACACATACACCCAGGAGCATGCACGCACCTCTGGTGTCCTGGTATCGAAGGTGAACGCGGTGGGGTCGGCACTCCCCACAAAGGAGTAGAACGTTCGCTCCGCCCTCACCAGCTCTGACAGCAGCCGCGCCTTGCGGGGGGGGCATCAGGGGTGAGAGGGGGTGCATGCAGGGGGGAGCACACAAGGAGAAGGAAGAAGAATGCGGAAAGAATGCCACTCCCCACAAAGGAGTAGAACGTTCGCTCCGCCCTCACCAGCTCTGACAGCAGCCGCGCCTTGCGGAGGGGGCATCAGGGGTGAGAGGGGGTGCATGCAGGGGGGAGCACACAAGGAGAAGGAAGAAGAATGCGGAAAGAATGCCACTCCCCACAAAGGAGTAGAACGTTCGCTCTGCCCTCACCAGTCCTGACAGCAGCCGCGCCTGGTGTGGGGAGAGATAATGGAAAGGGGGGAGAGATGACACAAGGAGAACGTGTGGCAATGCAGTGACGATGCATTCTGGCCTGCACCACTCCCCACAAACGAGTAGAACGTTCGCTCTGCTGCCCTCGCCAGCTCTGGTAGCAGCCGCGCCAGGTGCGAAAAGAAGGGATGAAAGAATCGCAAGGGGAAGAAACGAGTATACTGGAGAACACAGTTCAAAGCAAGAGGCAAGATGCATATGTGAACGTGCAACAGTACTGAAAATCCTGGCCAAGGAGGTATTGAACTTAATGTACCCCCGGGTATGACACTAATTACTATGCACCTCAAACATCGTAAGATTTTAGAGGCCAGGCTATGTTTGAGGCGTATTTAATGTATACTTTTTTTTTTTTTTCCAGCCAAACATACCCCGGGGTAGATTTTGATGGCAAAGCCCCACGATATGGCTGCAGTCCACTGGGAACTGCATGGGAGGGAGGTAAATGGAGCAAGAAGGAACGAAAGGACAACCAGTGCTGTTGCAGTGTTACCACATGCATATACAGCAGCTCGAAGAAGGAGAGGTGCAACGAGCAAATAGAATCTGACGGCAAAGCCCCACGATATGGCTGCTGTCCACTGGGAACTACATGGGAGAGAGGTGCATTGGAGGAAGGAGGAAAGGGTTCTGGGGAGGGGAGAGGGCAGGAGAGCTGTAACAGAAGCGACACAGAAAGGCGTGCGTGCATGCGAATATATATATTGAAACATGATAGAGCGCTGTTACATGATAGAACGCTGTTACATGCTATGCACGCAGGCTGTTAGATGTTGGGCAATGTGACAAAATGTGTTGAGAGCACATAATTCCAACGCAGAGGTACTTTCAACTCTCCAACCGCTTCTTCCTCCTCTCACTCACCCATCCCCGCACACTGCCAGCTGTGCAAACCCAATCGGGTCCGGCCGGATCCTCTCTGCCAGCGTGGCGAGCCCGTCCGCCCGGTCAGCGATGCCAGCTGGCAGCAGCAGCGGGTCAACGAAGTCAAGGTGGTGCAGGGAGAGCAGCGGCTGTAGCGAGTGCGCCATGAGGAGGCCGAAGAGACTGCCGCCCAGATCTACCTGGTGGAAGCCTGGCGTTGGAGTGAGGGACACCTGGGAGAGGAGGGAGGGCAGAGGGGAGATGGAGTCAAGGTGTGGGGCTGGGGGGAAAGCAGCGGGTTCAGGGGGTGCAGCGGGTGCAGGGGGTGCGTCATGAGGAGCTCGAAGAGACTCCCGCCCAGATCTACCTGGTGGAAGCCCGGGGTTGAAGTGAGGGACACCCGGGGGAGGAGGGAGGGCAGTGAGGTGGGGAGGGGAATGAGAGGGGGATTGTGCCATGACAAGACTGCCGGCCGAATCGACCTGGTGGGGGACGGGAGAGGATTCTAAGGAGAAAGAAAGGCCTGGTGGAGGAAGAGGCACGGGCAAGAGGAAATGGCACGTGCCCTGCCATGCCACACATCCATTGGCCCTTCCCAACACGCAAGCACTCACTCACCCCCAGCTCTCCCACGCAGCTTGACACGCGCTCGTCGCTCCCCCACACTGCAGCATGCCGCTCCAAGCACGCGTCCATGGCCCCACCCTCACTCAGCATGTGTGCGAGCGAGTTGACTTTTGAGTCGACTCAAAAGTCAACCCTCACTCAGCATGTGTGCGAGTGCTGCCGAGATGGCGAGGGGCGTCAAACAAGAGACGCCCCACGAAGCCTCTGCGTGCCGTGCTCTACATTCCCTGCTTCCCAAGTGCAACGTGAAGCGAGGTTGTTTTTGAGACCTCGCTTCACGTGGCCACGAAGCCTCTGCGTGCTCTCCAATTGCCTCTACATTCCCTGCTTTCCAAGTGCAAGCACTCACTCACCCCCACCTCGCCCACGCAGCTGGCAACACGTTCGTTGCTCCCCCACACAGCTGCATGCGGCTCCAAACACGTTTCCATGGCCCCATCTGTGCTCAGCATGCGCGCCAGCGAACCCGCCCCCTCCGAACGCCATGCCGTGCGTGTTGGCCACGTTCCGGTAGCTTGCATTCACACATACCCCAACGTGCACTCACCCCCAGCTCGCCAACACAGCTAGCGACCCGCTCGTCGCTCCCCCAAACTGTGGCGTGTCGCTCCAAACACGCATCCATGGCGCCGCCATCACTCAGCATGCGCGCCAGCGCTGCCGAGATGGCAAATCCCCCACCCCCGAACGCCATGCCGTGCGTGTTGGCCACGTTCTGGTAGTGCGTCTCAGAGGGTGCTCCCAGGTAGAGGGGTGTCTTGTGGTCGTACTGTCCGAGGAAGGCTGTGATGGCGCGGGGGCTGAAAAACGTGTCATCGTCGCCCATCACGTACCTACAGGTGGGGGCGAAAGGCGAGAGGGGAGAGAGAGAGAGAGAGAGGGGGCGGTATGGGGTACAGTGTTTTGCCGGCGTTCTCGGATTAGAGCAGTGCCAATCGCAGGCAGGCACTCCAAGGTGTCCCGTGCCCTGCCGTGCCTTTTGAGGCGCCTCAAAAGTAGCTCACGTGGCTCCACCCACCATTGAACACACACAAAGCATCCGATACGAGCTCACCATCTCACGCCCTTCTCCCCCAGCCTGTACGCGTCCACCACAATCCTCGACAGCCGCAAATATTCCCTCAGCCCCGTGCCCCGGTAAGTCAGGTGGCTCACTGTATAGGTAGCAAACAGCAGCTCAGGAGCACAGCACACTCACCAGCACACATCTTTCTCTCCCAGCCTGTACGCGTCCACCATGATTATCGCCAGCCGCAAATAATCCCTCAGCCCCGTGCCCCTGTAGCTCAGGTGGCTCACTGTAAAGGTAGCAAACGGCAACACAGCAGCACAGCAGCACAGGAGCACAGGAGCACAGCACACTCACCAGCGCACATCTTTCTCCCCCAGCCTATACGCGTCCACCACAATTCTCGCCAAACGCAGATACTCCCTCAGCCCCGTGCCCCTGTAGCTCAGGTGACTCGTGTTGGTGCTGGCCCTCACAGGTGGGTCCACCGCCACGTCATGCGGGACCGCTGCCACGTCATCCACCCACACGTAGCCGCGGATCTCCTCCTCCTGCCCACCCGGGCGCCACCAGCTGCGCAGGTAGGCTCGGCGGTATGGAAAGGTGGCTCGGGACGAGGCTATGTTGAACATGACGTGCCGAAGCTGCGTCTCCCCTTGCTCCTCCTCCCCTTGACCCGTCTCCTTTTCCTCCCTTCTCTCCTCCTCATCAGCCATCTTCTCCTTCTCCTCCTGCGATCCTGCAACAACCTCCCCCCTTCCGTCCCTTTCACCACCACCATCATCACTATCATCATCACCACGAATCACCGCCCCCAAGCCATTGGTAGCAGAGACCACCACCCGCCCTTCTCGTCTGGAACCCGAGGAGCCTTGACCAGACGGCAGGACTCTCTGCTCTGCATGATACGGAACGCTCAGCTCACTGAAAGCTCCCAGAGGGCTTGCAAAAGCCCCCAGCACCCACTCGTACCACCTGAAACCACTCTTCTCCACTTTTCCAGGGACAATTTTCTTTGATTTCTCAGGGGGATTTTTCTCTTCTTCTCCACCTGCCAGGGTCGTCGCGTCTCCAGGTAGAATCTCTACCCTTGATCCGTCCATGCCTCCAAGAATCTCCGTCGTACCTGGCTTATCTCTGCTCATACCTGAATTTGCAACTGTGCTGTGACGAGCGCGCGGCACGGGGCCACGGAGAGTGTTGCCAGACGAGGCCGCATCATGATGAGGAGTGCTGCTGGGCGAGGCAGGGGGGGGAGAGGAGCGGATGAAAGAGGAGGCGAGGAGGGAGGCGCTGAGGGCGATGCAGGTGAGCGAGAGCGAGAATATGGCGAGAGCGAGCGTGCTGCGCGGGATGAGCGCGTGGTTGGGCCACGACAGCCTCGTCCACAGGCTGACAGGGACGCTACGTGACCTCATGATGCTAGGCTGAAAATAACTAAGGTGTGTCAGGTATAAGTCGACCTCAGGTGCTGGTGTGGAAGGGGAAAAAAAAAAAAACGAAATGCGTCCGAAATAAGCGAGGAATGATGGGTGGGTCGATACTAGTCGAGGAATCAGGACGGAGAGACAGAACGGCGGAACTAATGGGAAGGAGCTTCGGAGAGGGTTGTTTTGGGACCTAACTAGAAGCAGCAGCTCAAGAAATGCTAATTTTGGCTGACCTTGGAACTTCCGAATTCCAATTTCCAAATTACGAAGCGCACATTGCGGTTCGATGTTTCGAGAATGGAATGCATCCGACCTTGGACGAGGTGGTTCGAAATTTCTGATTGGGCGCGGATTGTCCCGAATTTGCGGATGTGTGGCGTGGAGCCCGGACGAAGGACGACAGCTGGCGAAAGAGACTCGTAACCCGAATCTCTTCGAAACTTCACGCCAACCCCGCTATTGTTTCTCCTCGTACTCGTGAGACGGATGGAAAGAGATGTTCAGTAGCGTTTCATCTTTATAACGAAACAGTCACACACGGAAGAGCAGATAGATTCATGGTCCCAAGGTTCAGGCAATATCTTCAGAATGGAATTAGCACGTTCCCATATTGCACACCAACTCCATTCCAGTTATACGGCCCCGAAGGCCCCACAACAACCCCGCCCGGCCGCGCCATGTACTGCTGCTGCTGATACACCTGCATCTGCTTCTGCTGCACCATCCAGCTCGCCGCAAACATTGCATCCGCCCCTCCCGCCGACCTCGCAGCCGCAAAAAACCGCGCGTGCTGACTCAGCATGCGCCTCTGAAGCTCCATAGCCAGCTGCTGCTGCGCTCTAAGTGCCATCTGGACATACGGCGGCGGCGGGACCGCAGCAGAAGCTGCAAAAGGATCCCCATTCGCACCACCAATCCCACCACCACCACCAGCAGCACCAGTGCCTACACCACTGCCTCCTGCTCCTCCCAATCTGGCTGCTGTGGCATCAGAGGCGTGTTTCTGTGCCTGTGCCGCCTCATACAGGCTGTCCAGTAACAGCTGGTCCCAGCCCCCAGAAAAGGCGGTCATGGGTGGTTGATCCAATGGGCTGCTGCCAGCTGTACCGCTTCCACCATTTAGCCCGGGAGCGGCTAGTGCCCACTGCTGCTGCTGCTGGTGCTGCTGCTGCTGGTGCTGCTGCTGCTGCTGATGATGCTGATGATAAAGATGGGGTGCATGTTGTCCTCCTTGCCCCTGCTGCCTCGGAGGCATGTACGACCCTGCAACACCGCCTGAAGCACCACCCGAAGCACCACCTGCAGCACCAGCTGTATCATCAAGCGCACGCTCCCATCCCTGCGCACCATTCGTGAGGTACTTCATCTGCGCGGCTGCATTAGAGGCAGCAGCAGGAGAGGGCTGCGAGGAATACGAGCCAAAGAGCGCTTGAGCGGTGTCGTCAAACTGCTGCTGCTGGGCGGCAGGGGAGAGAGCAGGGCTGGCGGGCTGGGGGGGTGGTGGTTGAGAGGCGCTGTAGGAGTAGTACGGGCTGGGGCCTTGAGGGTTCTGGTGCTGATAACCCATCTGCTGCTGCTGCTGTTGCTGGTACTGGTGGTGGTGGTGGTGCTGCTGCTGCTGGTGCTGGTGCTGAAATTGGGGATGACCAGGTTGTTGGCCTGGGACAGGAGTGAAGAGCACCATGGCGTTGGGAAGAGAACGATGAGAGTCACTCCTGTCCAAATTCGGCTGATGCTGCTGCTGCTGCTGTGCTTGCTGCTGCTGCTGCTGCGGCGGCGGCGGCGGTCCCATACCTCTGAAACTAGCACCACCAGCAGCACTGCCATCAGCGAAACTCCCGGCTCTGCTGAATCCACCACTACCAGCAGCAGCAGCAGCAGCAGCAGAGTGCATGGGAGAGGGCGGAACGCTCATGGCAGCATCCGGGCCTGCAGCAACGGAGGCAGAGAGGTTGCCAATGACGCCGTCCCCCAGCACTGCCACGGAGGGGAAGGCCACACCTGCGCCCACCCCTGCCGCCCCCAGGCGCGTGTACATGTCAGATAGCGCCTTCCCCTGCTGCACCGAGAACTGGCACACCTGAAGCGCGCGCATGGCCTGGGTGCGGGGCGACGGGAAGCACAGGAGAGCAAGGGAGAGCAAGGGAGAGCATGGGTGGGTATGTGAGCGCATAGGAGGGCACGGGAGCGCCAACAAAAAGGAAGATGTGAGGGATGATTTCGCGAGGGCAGTGACAAGACAGAAGACCTGCAGCGGCAGAACTTTCCCGTGGCTCTCACCTGCTCCTTGGGGAACCGACTGAGTCGCTCCATGAGCTCGATCAGCCCGTAGTTGACCCACCCATACACGCGGAAGCTCTCATCCAATGCCACCTCCAGCACATACCGCACCACCCGCCGCCGCCTCTCCCTCTCCCCCTTCCCCTCCCCCTCCCTCCCACGCCCGCCTGCTCCCCCGTTTGCACCCCCCGCTGTTCCCGCTGCGGTTTTCCGTGCTGCGAAGCTTGTGCCGAGGCCGCTGGGAGCAGCGGCGGCGCAGTCAACTAGCCGTTGCTGCAGCTGCTGAAGCGACGCCACCTGGTGCAGCACAGCGTCTGACTGAAGCTGCACCCAGTACGCTTCACCCAGCCCCCGCTCCGAATCACTCTCCGAATTCCCCAATACGCAGTTTTCAGCAACTATGTCCCCGTTTTTGGCTTCCCCGGTTGCGGATTTCGCTCCCGTGCGGAACACCTGGAGCCCTATGCTGTCCACGCACCGAAGCCGCTCCTGCAGATACACGCAGTACGCGTGCGCGAACTGGGCCAACGCCGCGTCATCGCTGACGTCACCGGCGGAGGCTGACGTGGCAGCAGCGGCGGAGGAGGGAGTGGAAGGAGCGGGGACGGTGTAGTGGAGGCGGCGGGCTAGACGAGGGAGGTCGAGGGAAGGTCGGTCCTTGCGGGTTGACGTTGAGAGAAGCATGCTACAGACGTCCGACTCCTGATTGGCGGAGCAGGACCGGAGTAACCCGTGGAGAAGCAGAATGCCTGGAAATGAACGGATAATTGGATGAATGAGTGATGGGAAAATAGGGTTAAAACGAGAATGCCAAAAAGCAGTTGCGTCTGCAGGAGGATGAATAGCGCAACTGATATTCCTCAGGAGTATCCAAGCTGAGACATGATGCACTTAAACCGAGAAAACTCCGTTCCGTTGCTGCTGCGGCACCGAAACAAGCTACGATTGCAACAGCAGATTTTCCTAACGAATGGTGTGTTACGCCTGATGCAGCTACGGTTCCGTACCTCGGGAAATGGACCCGGGAGATCGTTTCAGCGGCCTGTGCTGGCCCTCCGCCTGAGCCTGTTTCTTCTCCAGCAAACGCCGGCCAAGGCCGTCTAAGAAATGCCAGAGGTGGTCAGAGGATTCGGCCATGGCGGACAGCTCATTGGCTAGGTCCTCCTGGTAGCGCCGCCATGCTCTCTCGCTCTCTCCCTCCGGGTCCGCTGCGTCTAACGCTTCGTCGATTAGTTCGTCTAGTGCGTCGGCTTCGGCTTTAGGGAGGACGACGAGCCGCATCTTGGCCAGGCCGACATCATCAGGAGGAAGTGGCTTCATTCTTAATACGGCTCTTTAGAATCTCACAGACGGAGAGACTAAAGTATGCTCGAGGGTGAACTATATCGAAGCAGATAATAAGGTTCTCAGCCTTGACAATCACAACGACTCTCTTATACAGATTCTACTGAGCTTTCTGGACTGAGACTAGTCACTTATTGCAGATAGCTGGAAAACGCCAACTTCTGAAGAGCAAGGACATGAAGATCAAGTCTAGGAATGAAGCTGAGGGAGTGGTGGTGAAGGTGAATCTCTGTCATCTCTTTTACCTTTCCACCACCCAGCCAAGAGGAGGTGGTTTGGGTTTGGCGGTGGTCTCTGTTGTTCGGTTCGGCAGCCAGCGTTGACTTGAATCCGCCTGCCATTGGTGCTGGGTTCTTGTGTGTTCAGGTTCGGGCCTCGTTTTCCACGCCTGAAGGCATAGGTCTGGGCCCTGTTCGGTAGCCTTCCATTCACACTGGGCCCACTCGAACTGGGGAAGCCTACGACATGTTTCGTAGCCTCGGCCCTACGGCCCTGTTCGGCCCTGATCTTCCGCGGACCAGTTTCGAACTACCTTAAAGCCTACTGAATCGTTAATAGAACACCAAACCTGACCAGTGCGATTGGCTACCGAACGCGCATAAACCCATTCCGAGTGCAGGGGAAGACACTACCACGAAATTGGCGAGCCCAGGCAAACTCGACAGTCAGTGGGAGTGGATCCCATTTCAGCTTTCCAGTTCCACTCAGGCAGGCCCGCTCTGAGTGGCATGCTTGAGGGTATACGCTGCATTAGTGGCATTTCGGGATGAATTAAATTATTTTAGTCTATCGAATGAGAAACGACGAGAGATCCTGCTCACACAACGTTTTTCTTTCATCCATAATGAGGGGAAACCATTTGGCGGACTGATTTCTTGTTTGTGAGTCGGGCAGCTGGCAAAAATCGGCCTGAAATTTCTTGACAGACGCGAGGTAAATTCTTGCAACTATGGACGAAACATCTTTCTAGTGCGAGTGAAGGCCCGAGGCTACGAAACGCACCGAAAGCTTCTCCAGTTCAAGTGGGCCCAGTATGACTTGGAGGCTACCGAACAGGGCCTACACTCACACTGAAAGGAAGTCTCGTTCCCAAATGCAAGAAGTTACCGTGCGTTTCTTGGGAAATTACCTGCCGAGACTTTACTTCTGTACGAGGCTGCCCCACCCACAAACAAAAATCAGTCCGCCAAATGATAAACCGTCGATATGGATAAAGAAAATCAGGAACGGACACGATCTCTCATCGTTTGAAAGAGCAGGCTAAAAAACCTTAATTCGACCCAATTCAAAAGTAGTGCAGCGTATACCCTCCAGCCTGCCACTCTGAGCGGACCTGCCTGGGTTGAACTGGAAAGCTGAAATAGGAGGGACTCCCACTGACTGTCGAGTTTGCCTGGGCGCGACAGTTTCGTGGTAGTGTCCTTGCACGCAGTTGAAGTGGGGCTTTCATGCGTTCGGTAGCCAAGTTGCACTGGACAGGCTCGGTGTTCTAATAACGGTTTGTTGGGCTTTAATCAGTTTGATTGTAGGAAACAGAAGATCCCACGCACCAACCGCAGTATGACTGGAAGGGCTACCGAACAGGGCCCTGGTACGTCTGTTGGGAGGTAGTCAAATTCGCGAAACCTCGAAGAAAGAGCCGATTTCGCCAACTGCGTGTATTGCTGGTCTGACATGACTGCTCTGTGGTTTGGTTTCGCGGTTCGGCGAATTTATCAGCAGATTAACAGGAGTGATTGGAAAAGGTGATTCGGTTGGACGGTGCGAGATTTCTGTTGGCTTCGTCGCGAATGTTCGCTGACCGGCAGATCAATTCCATCGTATCTTCGTTAACAGAAACTCTTCGATATGTATAGAAGACATACGAATCAAGGCATCTTAAAAACCAGAACGTAATCTCCAGGCTACCTCCGAGATGTATTACAGCTTTATACAGCTGTGGAGAGTAAACCTGGTTTTTGGCTGCAAGTGGGGTTTTTTATTCTGACACTGCTGACTGGGACTGGTCCTATTTGCGATCTCCACTGGTCACTATTTCCAATTCAAGAATTTGAACGCATTTGGCGGTTTCGGGCCTTGACTAGGAACGTCGTCAGACAACGTCCCATTCTCCAAACAACGATATCAAGCCCACGTGGATGCTTGCTCATACGTCTATAACCTCTTCTCGCTCGCTCAAGTGCCCAGCCTACTCCGAGAGTCTCGTTAAGCCTAGGAGCCACAAGCTGCGGGGAAGCGGAGAGTGCGTAAATCGGGAACTCTCAACTCGGGTTCATTACACACCCAGCTACATTTCAAAATGCAGCCAATACAGCCGGTCGGCGAGTACGACCTACACCGAATACCACCTGCCTCAGGTCCCGGCGCGGGACCCCCACAGCGCCCCGGGCAATACCGCGGAGGAGGCCGACACCGAGGATCGAACCCGGGATCTCTCGGAGGCATACCCGCTATAGTGATCCCCGGAGTCGGGCAACTACCTCCCATCCCTCCGCACGCGGTTAAATTCATCCGCAAATTTGGGCCGTTGATCTTGATCATCACGCTGCTGTTCGCCGTGCAGTACCTTCTCCTGTCGATCTACCTGAACGTGCGGCGAATCAAATCCGACGTGAAGGAACAGTGCGCGTCGCTCCAGGCGGATCTGAATCTGACGGCGTGGGGGCACATGGAGGGCGTGCGCAACGAGAACTGGCGGCAGCACCGCATGGTGGGACGTGGCACGTACGGATTGGTCCAGTGGTCCGCGTATCGGATCCAAGAAGGCGTGGTGGTCGGGGTAGGGTTTGGCGCGACGCTGCTGCGGCCTCACAGGAAGGTAAGAGCAGGGGGGGTTGGGACCGGTGGAGGTGGAGCAGGGAAAGGTGAGTAAAGGGGAAGGTGGTGGTGGGCGTAGGGTTTGGCATGACACTGCTGCGGCCTCAAAGGAAGGTGGGCGCAGGGGGGTTGGGATCAGGGGAAGGAGGGAACAGGGGATGGAGGGAACAGGGGATGGAGGGAACAGGGGATGGAGGGAACAGGGGATGGAGGGTACAGGGGATGGAGGGTACAGGGTAAGGTGGGAACAGGGGAAGGTGAGGCAGGGGAAGGTGGGAGCAGGGGGAGGTGAGGCAGGGGAAGGTTGGAGCAGGGGGAGGTGAAACAGGGGAAGGTGGGATTAGAGGAAGGTGGTAACAGGGGAACGTGGTAACATGGGAATGTGGTAACAGGGGAATGTGGTAACAGGGGAATGTGGTAACAGGGGAATGCAGTAACATGGAATACAATAATCACAGAAATGTGGAAACGGGATGGTGGGGTAACGGGTGGGTGGGGAAGGCGTGGTTGCAGGGGGGGAAGGGAGGTTGGTGAGTGCACATAAGAATGTGATGGTAGGCAGCAACATGTGTTGTGAAACCCAGAGTTCCCCCGTGTCCTCTCCATTGCGTCTTCACTATCCCCCGTCTCCCATCCCCCTCCCTCCCTCCGTTCCTCCATCCCTCCCTCCTTCCAACTAGCAGTATGAAGCATCATCATTCCCTATCCCGCTCCCCTCTCCCCTTTTCCCCCAACCCCCCTCCCCACTCGTTAAGATCACGTCGTGCACATGGCACGGAGCAGACGGGGTGACAATACTGGGCGACCCATCGCTGCACTACCCGCGGGACGAGCCGCACGAGCAGTACGAGACCATCATCATCCGCTGCGACCTGCGCGGGAAAGTGGTTACCAACCTCGGCGGTTACCTCGTTGTCGGAATCGACAACGAGCATATAATCCTCTATCGGGAGGATCGGGACTCCCCGACCCACGCGCTGCTGTCCACGACCCACCCGTACCGAGCCTCTTTCTGCACGTACCCGATTGCCGACCCTGTGGACGGGGCGCGGCTCCGGGATTGGCTGCATGTGCACCGGGCGTACGGAGCGGAGCACGTGGTTGGGTACGATGCGGGCGGCGTGGACCGGGCGGCGCTGCGTGAAGTGAAGGAGTTTCTGGATGAGAAGTTTCTGGAGGTGCTGCCGATGAGGGATGTCGTGCACTTCAGAGTGCAAGCGCAAGGCAAGGTGAGCAGTGACAGAGGGTGAGGCACGTGGTGCACTTCAGAGTGCAAGCGCAGGGGAAGGTGAGACCAGGGATTTTGGGCTGAAGTGCAATGGAAGGAGTTTCTGGAAGTTCTGCCGATGAGGGATGTCGTTCATTTCAGGGTTCAGGCGCAGGGAAAGGTGATTCGGGAAGCAAGGCAAGTGCATAGGTCTCTGGTTAAGTGGGAACTGGCTGGGTGCAGCGTGAAGTGAAGGGGTTTCCGGATGAGAAGTCCCTGGAAGTGCTGCCTATGAGAGACGTGGTGACTTCAGGGTGCAAGCGCAGGGAAAGGTGAGTCTGGGTTTAGGGGGCGGCGGGGGGAGCGGGCGACGCTGCGTGAAGTGAAGTTTCTAGAAGTGCTGCCGGTGCGAGACGTGGTGGTGCATTTTGAGGTTCTGGCTCACGGCAAGGTGAGCAGACGCAGGGAATGGGCGTCCTGGAATGTGGTTTCAAGATCAAGGGAAGGTAAGTTCCGAGATTGTAGTGTCAAGCGCAAGGGAAGGTGATTTCTGAGGCTGTGGTGTCAAGCCCAAGGGAAGGGAGATTTGGAATGAGAATTCCTTATAAGTGCTGTCGACGAGAGGCGTGGTGCGCTTTAGGGTTCAAGCCGAGGGGAAGGTGAGTTCTGGGGTTTAAGGGGGGGTTAAGAGCCTCTCACCCTGCAGCACGTCTCCTCCCGCCTTACACCCCCACCACCCTCTCTCTGCCCTCCGCCTTCAGGCATGCATCAACTCATTTGTTCACAGCTCAAACCATTCTCACCTCCTCATGGGTTGGGTCGTGTTCCTCAACTCGGACCACATCCTCCGCCACATCATGTCGCCTCGTTCTCCCCCCCCTGTTTTCACCCCCTTTAACACCCCTCTCCTCCCCTCCCCCTTCACCCCCCTTCTCCCCCCTTCTCCCCCATCGGCTCATGGGTTGTGTTCCTCCCTCAACTGGGACCACATCCTCCGCCACATCATCTCGCCTCATGCTCCCCCCATCTTTGTTACCCCCTCCGTCAACGCCCCACTCCTTCCTATCAGCTCATGGCGATGCACGACTGTCTCTACCGCTCCACACTCACCTCCTCGTGGGTCTTATTCCTGGACTGGGACGACATTCTCCACATCATCTCGCCGCCCTCCCTCTCGGAGCTCCTCTCCCAGCATCGCAACGTGCCCTGGCTGTCCTATGGCTGCCAAGTCTGGGGCACCAAGCTGTGCATGGGGACAAAGGTGAGCACCGAACTGTACCACGCTGCACCGCACTTCACTACATTCTACCAAACTGTGCTACTTTTCTCCCTCTCGGAGCTCCTCTCCCAGCACCGCAACGTGCCCTGGCTGTCGTATGGCTGCCAAGTCTGGGGCACAAAACTGTGCATGGGAACCAAGGTGAGCACCGCACTGCACCACACTGCTCCTCTTTGTACCACGTTCCACCGGATCCTCCCACCGCCCTCCCTCACGGAGCTCCTCTCCCAGCATTGCAATGTGCCCTGGCTATCGTATGGCTGTCAAGTCTGGGGCACCAAGCTATCTGTGGGAACAAAGGTAAGCATTGCACTGTGCTGCAGCACCGCCTCACACCGCCACACACCACCTCGCACCGCGACGCGCCACCAAGCCCCATGCCCATGCCCATGCCCATGCCCATGCCCATGCCCGTGCCCATGCCCATGCCCATGCCCATGCCCCATGCCCCGTGCGCCATGCCCCGTGCCCCATGCCCCGTGCCCCATGCCCCATGCCACATGCCGTCTTGTCCACCCCGCCCACCCTTGTCTTAATGTCTTTCTCAGGTGAGCAGTCGCACCAAGGGCCTCATGCCCCAGGAGCGCATGCTGTGGCACTGGCCTCACTTCCTGTGCTCTGAGGGCGACCCTCCCGTGGAAGCCAACTTCTGCCCGGGGACCAGGGGACACCGATACATCATGGCCAACACTGGCAAGGTGAGCAGAGGGGACGCATAGTGGGACATAATGTCTTACATATCAATATGGCCCCTCCCGTGGAAGCCAACTTCTGCCTGGGGACCCGGGGACACCGATACATCATGGCCAACACTGGCAAGGTGAGAAGCTGCCTTACAGAGCGATACATTCCCTGGCGGGACACAGTGAAACATGTGAATTCCATTCCAGCGTCTGCACCGGTACCAGGGGCACCGATGCATCATGGCTAGTACGGGCAAGGTGAGAATTGGATGTGAGGAGATTGCGAGCACAGGTAAGGTGGGAGAGACATGGCACGGTGGTCCACCCAAGAGCAGGAGGTTGAAGCGGTTTGAAAACGTGCGCAAGAGGGGCGCGGACTGGACAAGACAGAGTGACCTTACTTTTACCTCTCTCTCCCCTGTAAACCAACCACTTTGCTGCCTGCCCTGGCAGGTGTTCTTGATGGGGGACAAGCGGTTTGAGAACGTGAACAAGAGGGAACACGGCAAAGCAACCTCGTTTTCCCAATCTCTTCACCTCCCTGCCCGCCCTGGCAGGTGTTTTTGATGGGGGAGAGCGAGGTAGTTGATCCAAGAACAGGAGGCGTAGACCTGTCAGTGGAGTCGGTGCGGCACGAGCGGTTTGAGAACGTGCACAAGCGGGGCGCTGACATGGACTGGTGCTCGGAGGTGTATGGCGAGAAAGACACTGTTGAGTGGTGGGTGAAGGACGGGACCATGCAGACCCGCCTGGAGGTGATTCGCAAGAAGGTTTATTCCAAGGAGAAGAGATGAGGGATGCTCTGAAAGGGAAAGGTGGGGGCATGGTCAGGGGAGCAGAGGGTGCAGAACATGCAGAACGGGAGTGGTGCTCAGAGGTGTATGGGGCTGGATACGGTTGACTGGTGCTCAGTGGTGCTCAGAGGGAAGAAGGATACGGTTGACTGGTGGGTGAAGGACGGGACGGGACATGCAGACCCGGCCAGAGGTCATTCGCAAGAAGGTGTATGCCAAGGAGGGGCGATGAAGAGGGGAGATGAAGATGAGATGAGGGAGGGAGCGGAGTGAAGGGACTTGCAGGTCACTTTGGCAAGGCCTTGTTCACGAGGTGTACAGCAAGGCAGGAGGTTGAGGAGGGAAAGAGGCGGAAGATGCGGGGGATGGCTATTCTTGAGCGGAATTTACTCTCACCTCTGTTGGAGATCTTATGGCATGCAAAAAGGCCACAGGTTGATTCGGATGAGTTTGTGGGCTTACCATGAAAAGTACCAGTAACTGAATAGATGTGCGCCTGCGATTGGCGTGGCTATTATAGTGAGAAGAAAGACAACCGCTGCTCTTGAAAGGCATAGATTGTTATCACCGCGCTGCCATTGCTGACAAAATCCGTTAGCTTCACTTGTAAACCTGTAGTTTGCTGCACCTACTGCCGGCACATAAGGCTGGTTTGCACTGCTAAGCGGGTTGTTGTCGCACCATAGCATAGCAGCTGTTTATGATGACAGGATGTAACTTGATACCAGTTGATTACGCGGTGTTATGAATGAACTAGCAGAGTGCGCAGAATATCGAATAACGAGAAGGAACTGATTACTGAATGAAGAAACAATGAAGTAGCGAGGCCTAAATGGGGGAAACCTAGCTAGGCGGGGGGTTCGGGATGGGATGGCTCGGTGATGGTTGCGATTGGAGCGGAGGCCGACTCGGGAGTGGTTCGGTGCGACGAAATAGGAAGGTCAGGTTCGTCGCATGACCCTCAGGATGGCCTCGCTGACGAGTGCCTCAGTAAGGATTTGTAAATCCTTACACGTGGTGCCTCCATCCATGTTTGATCTCAGGTACTGGTATTCCACCAGCTTGGAACGAAACATAATTTCTAACTGAACCACCTGCAATGGACACATATCTTAATGACACTGGAGTCTATGGTGTACATTAGAAACATGAGAATACTCATAAACGAGGCCGCGACACGCAGATCTTGGTATTACCCATCAGAAGATAGTCCACCAACTACCTAGCTCTGCCTCGTTCGAGCTTGAGTGCTGCCTCCTCAGCCTTGTGGTGAAAGAGCTTCACAAACGACCGCCGCTCACAGTCCTGCACACATGCACCAGGAATATTCAGGTGAAATAGCCGTAACTTGAGGCGCCTTATAAAACACACCACCACATAGATAACCAGGAGTTGGCTTTTGAGTCAACTGAATATTCAGGTGAAATAGCCGTACCTTGAGGCGCCTTACAAAACACACCACCAAATAAATAACCAGGACCCTGCTGGCAGTTCTTCTCATGCAGCACAGAGATCTGGCAGCCCTGTTCAAGCACCGGTGAATACAGCCCTTCGAGCCAAGGGTGGTTACATTGAAGGGCGTTGACTGTATTGACTGCATTAACACACTCACCTTGGAGCGGATGAGGGGTGCGGGCCAACTTGACATACGTGTAGGCAAAGGAGACCTGGTTGCATTTCTGAGCCGACCCAGTAATCGTTGACTGCATTAACTGCATTAAGCCACTCACCTTGAACATGTTGAGCCGGAGTGGGTGCCACGAGCGAGCCATCTTGATGTGTGGGCGAAGGAGAGCTGGTCAAGTTTTCTGAGCCGATCGTTGGCTGCATTGAATGCACTGACTGCACTGACTGCATTGAAAGCATTGACTCACCTTGAACATATTCAACCTCAGTGGGTGAGAGGTACGGGCCATCTTGTGGTACGTGTAGGCGAAGGAGAGCTGGTCGCGGGAGGTGAAGCGGTCCACCTCGTTGAACCAGAGGCACGAGAACAGGTTGGCGGCAGCTGTGTGCGCTCTTATGATCACTGACCCCTCTGGCACGTCTGAGAGGAGCAAGGGAGCACAGGGGAGTGGTAGAGCAAGGAGGTGGGGATCAGATGAGGGATTGAGAAGCTTGATTGTGCGTCCATATGATCACCCCCCCTCTCTGGCACATCTGGAAAGGGCGGGGAGCATAGGGGGGGCGATGGTAGAGCAGGGGGATGGGGAGCAGGGGGTAAAGAGCAGAGGCATGATGTGTGACAGAGCTTTGGGGTGGGGTTCGAGTGAACTCAGGAGCGCTGGAACATGGTGAATGCCCGTTGGCCCTGTGTTTATAAAGATGAATTGAAAAGCGTCCACACTCACTGCTGATGAGCAGGTTGTTGGGGTCAGAGGGGTTGAACATGGTGAGCCCATCTGCCTTGTATGCCTCAAACTGCTCGTCAATGACCGTCGCGTTGTACTTGCCCAGCTTCTTGTTGCGCTCCACCTGACCAGTGACCACTCATGCCATGCCATGCCATGCCATGCACCATTCATGCCATGCACCACTCATGCCATGCACCACTCATGCCATGCACCACTCATGCCGTGCACCACTCATGCCGTGCACCACTCATGCCGTGCACCACTCATGCCATGCCATGCCATGCACCACTCATGCCGTGCACCACTCATGCCATGCACCAACCGTGACATGCCGCGCCAAGCCATACAACGCGTTCCATGCCATACCACACCATGCCATGCCATGTCATCCCACAAAATGCAACAGCACGCCACAGCACACAAGATTAAATCTCTCACTCCTGTTGCGGGACAGAGTACAACTCCTCATCGCCCCACGGATTCAATATCTCCATGTCTCACCTCCATGTCTCCCAAACCAAACTCTCACCTTGTACCATTCCTCACTGCCCTCCATTCCTCACCTCTTCCCACACGCAGTGCCGGTCGTAGTGGTTGGAAATGGCATATTCAAACCCTCCCCGCCACAAAAACCGCTCCAGGATGGCTAGCGGATCCACAAAGAGCCGCAGCTTGCTGTCGATCCACATGGAATACCTGGGCAGGAGACAGTGGGGAGTGGGGGCGACAGGGGGAAGGGTGACACCACAATGGATAGCAAACATTGATCAACAGATGATCAGAGGATCCACAAAGAGCCGCAGCTTGCTGTCAATCCACATGGAATACCTGGGCGGGCGACAGTGGGGAAGCGTGGAGGCAAGCGGTAGCAATCGTACTGTCACCGGTGGTGGCAGGGGGTAGCTGTGGTACTGAAGAGAGAGAACAATGAGGATAGCAGGTTCACTTCGTCCATGTGCTCGCATTCGTTTCACTTAAATATGCATTCACTAGTCATCAAAGCGACAGGCACTGCATCAACACCACACATCTGAAGGGCCTCAACTCACGACCTCAAAGGCGCACCACACACTCACTTGGCGTTGGGAAAGAGGCGGTGTGCCAGCAGCTTGGGTATTTTCCCTGTGCGCCGCGCGTCCGAGTAGGGCGGGTGGGCCACCACCACCACGCGCCACAGCCCCACCTTGCCGTTGGCATCAGGAATGAGGTTGTCCCTGTACAGCCCCCTCACTGTCTGCTCGTCCACGAATATCACAAAACACGCCTTGCGCTTGGCTGTCACGGAGATCTGGAGAGGGGCAGTGAGAGGGAGAGAGAGAGAGCGAGATTAGTCTAACCACCTAGAGACAGCCACTGGAATCCCACATTGCCTTTTGGCATGAAGGGAAGATGTTCTCCTCGACCCGACCAGCCCCTTCACTGATGCCTCGTCTGAAATAAGCACAGACATACAGAGCATGCCTTTCAGAGGTCTCACCTTGGAGCGCTGAGGCAGCCTGAGGTGGTCCCAGTCTGCAAAGATAGCCGAGACGACCGCAATGCGGCACTGCTCCAAGTACATCTGATCCGCCTTGGAGATGTCAAACCCCGTCCCCGGCCAGCCGGGTGGCGACTGCACAAAGCCGCAGTGCACCTGCGCCTCTGGCGGCCAGTCAGCCCTGCCAGCTCGGAACGAGTCAGCGCGCTGTCGCCACGTCTGGTGGCCAGCAAAGCGTGGGGCCCACGTGTTGGAGGAGCGGCCGAGGAGGTTGAGCGCAGAGGAGGAAGAGGAGGAGGAGTCGGCAGCAGGGGGATGCTCCATGGTGACGTAGTGAGGGGTTGTGGGGTTGGGTCCCTCCAAGTCTGGTACTTGCACGCTGTCTCCACTCTCCAAGTAGTCAACCTCGCAAGCTATTTTGAGGGTTGGGAGGGGTATCAGGGGAACGGGAAGTAGTTATTGAGACTTTGAGGAAGTGGATTGCGGCTTAGAAGATCATGTAACTAATTACACTCTGCCTCATTTTTTCAGTAACGTGGACTGGGCGAGTATGTCCAGTAAGGGACGAAGCGAGCTTCACTGATGACAATTCTTGAGATTATAGGGAGTGGCAAGGGGGAAGATAGCCGTTGGTAAATGAGCAGAAGAAGAGTTGAAGCACTTACGTCTGTTTCCTGTCCTCTTCTTGGAAGGTCTCTTCTTTTTCTTCTTTTTTCTCCTCCGTTTCTTCTTCCCGCCATCCTCACTCTCCTCGTCCGTGGCTCCATCCTCCCCATCACTCTCCTCCTTCTCTGCACCATTCGTCTCCAAGCTCTTCTCTCTATCGCCATCCGCACCTTCCGCACGTTCTGGAACCATCTGGATCCCCAAATCTAGCGGCCTTTTCCGCTGGGTATCTTCCAATTCTGCCTTGTCATCCGCCTTAGCATCATTGCTGGCTGAATGTAAGCTACTGCTCTCTCCATCTCCACCACCAGCATCAACACCATCATCACCCCCAGCACCACCACTTTCAGCAGCCACACCACCTCTATTGCCACCATCACCGCCAAAACCACCATCACCACCTGACTCGGAACTTTGAGTCATCGTCTTTCTATCTTCCGATGAGTCAAAGTTCTGCCCTTGGACGTCATCGTTGTCAGCATTTGCTTCGTCCGAAGCTCTACTAAAGGTAGGTCTGTCAGTTGCATCTGAGTTCTGGCGTTCTGTCAACACGAAAGATTCGCCTCCAGATGCATCGTTAGAATGAATTTCAGGCCGTCGAACGTCAACGTGCGAAGATTCTGCGAATTATAAGTCACGTGGTTAGCAGGGGGACAAGATTTAGGAAAGTTGCAAGGAAATGTTGAGAAATCAAGAAGTAGACGCAACCCGCATTGCGATGGAGTGCCAACATTTGGGAGTAGAATAGCAGCACATTCTGCAAAACAGCGTCAAGTAAGTAACTGAATGAAGCTTCACCTTGAGATAAGTCTGTAGGGTTCAAAACAGGTTCCTGCAAAAGGAAACGCTCGGCAACATTTTCAAATCAGTGGACTGTTGACGAGGTTCTAAGCCAGAAAAGTCAGCTGCTTGTACATCGTGGTAAATTCGCAATGCCGTAATTACCTCGATTAGGCTGCGTCTAGACGATAGAGCTTCTGCTGCTAATTGACCTGAGACCACAAACCAGAAATAGGGAAGTACATTATCGTTCCAGCTATTATCCGATCTAAAATGCAGATAAGTCCAGGGCAGTCCAGTGAAAGCTCACCTCGTCTATGGATTCTCCAGTAACCTAGAGGAATGCACACGATCGCAATCAGTGCAAGCGATATCATGCAGCATTTGAAAGCAGCTAAGCGTCCTCCTTTCTTTCCACTGTTAGTCCTTATCGGTTTCCGTTGCCTCGCCATTGTGGCTTATTCTTCTAGTATCATCGCCTGAGCACAGAAACAATACTGCTTGATGGGATCTTAAAACAGCTCTTCCCACTGCGGGTTCACGGGCCTCCTATAAAAGGCAAGCCTGATAGTATGCTACTTGCATTGCATAAGTGAATTATTCCTTCCAGGATCCAAGTCTATTCCCAAGCTTTTCCTAGTGTGAATCCTATCGGTTGGGTGGAGCAAATTCAATCTGGAAACATACGAACCGTCGATCCTCTAAACTTCAACAACACAGATTCTACCAAATCTGACTTCTAGACGGCCAGTCTTGGGGATGTCAGGCAGATCCCCACCCATGATTGGTGCAGCAGCACCCCTACATACAAGCTCAGAAAGGCTTTCAGGAAATATTTCGCTAAGCAGATTGGAGCCATGCGAAGAGTATGAGTTACTGGCGAGACGTGGGGCAAAACCAAGAGAATTGTCGAAAGCGAGGCTCCTCTGATTGGTCAGCAGTATTTTTGCTGATTGACAATCAGCACTGATGTTGCTCTGACGTGGCTTTCTGTTGTTGAACCATTTATGCGCCCAAACTCCCCACAAACCGTCCCCCAAGCTCCCCCAACTCCCTCGTTTTCCGCCCCCCCCGCTCTTTCCTCCCCAACTGCAGTGCACAGCAGCATTTTTGGAAAGCAGCTCTTCCCCTATTTCTTCACTTACCCATTTCTTTGCATTTCTCGAAGTCATTGCTAGCCGAGTTTGGCGGCAAGTAGGAGCGCGTGCAGCTTTGTCCTTGCTTGAGTGGCATCCGCGTAGTGATCTTCAGCCCCTTTAGTGTTCAAAAAGCGTCTTTCCCTTCCGAACACGATCATGGCGGCCATTGAAGCGCCTGCGGTCCGTGCTGCTGCATTGTCAACGTGTCAGTCTGGTCTGTCCGCGTCCAGCTCACGGCGAACCGTGGGATGGCAACCCGTGAGCCACTCCGCTAGTTTTAGCAAGTTCGCGAAGAGCGTTCGCGGGACGGCGAAGGTCAGGGCTGTAGCGGAGATCAAGTCAGCGGCTGCTGACTCACCAAAGGTAGACGTTTCGTAGTCCTTAGGTCATCACCACGGAGAATACTGAAGACAGGTCTCAAGATGTTTTCTATTTTAGTTTGAGTAGCCAGCGAAAGTCATTCAACTTAGTCATCAAGCATCTCCGATGATTCGTTGAGGTCGAGAACAGCGAAAAGAGAAAATCCGTCAGCAAATGCGGCTTGACATTTCCAATTTACCGTTGAGCTGCTGCGCATCCGATCGTCGCGATTCCCTTATTTTGGGAAAATATTGGTCTTCCTGCCTCATAAAAAAGCGGAATTCTCTTCAACATTGACCTGCCACTTATCGTTCCTTCGTTAAACCCTCTGAATCCCACCAGATGAAGGATCTTGCGCGCCCTGACTCGTTCGGCCGCTATGGCCAGTTCGGCGGCAAGTACGTTCCAGAGACCCTCATGGCCGCTTTGGATAATCTCGAGAAGGTTTACAACGAGACAGTCCAGGATCCCGCATTTCAGGTATGATGCTGATCGCACTGGGGACTTTCTGTGAGCCCTGAATTGCGATTGTAAAATAAAATCATGTCTAAGTGGAACTATATTCGCCAGTGAAAACGAACCCTGCATCCCTTCACGTTCGCTGGCGGTGTTTCAAGCAATCTTCAAGGTAGGGTCACGATCGCCTCCTTTCCACTTCTCAACATTCCCCTTCCCATCTAGGGCTCCTCCCCAGGCGGAGTCCCAGTCGATCCTCAAGGACTTCGTGGGTCTCAATCGCCTTCTCCTCACTCCAATGTCTCTCAGCAGCATCGTCCCTGCGTTCCTTCCCAGGCGGAGTTCCAGTCGATCCTCAAGGACCACGTGGGTCGCAATTTCCATTTTTCTTAGCATCCCTTCTCCCCCTCCCCACCCTACCCCCTCCCCTCCCCTCCCCCGTTCGTTTGAATGATTTCAGGCGGAGTTCCAGTCGATCCTCAAGGACTACGTGGGTCGCGAGTCGCCGCTTTACTTCGCGGAGCGCCTCACGGAGCACTACTCGCGCCCCGACCCCGCGGACCCCTCGCGCCGCGTCGGCCCGCACGTGTACCTGAAGCGGGAGGATCTGAACCACACGGGCGCGCACAAGATCAACAACGCCATTGGCCAGGTGCTCCTGGCGAAGCGCATCGGCAAGAAGCGCATCATCGCGGAGACGGGTGCGGGGCAGCACGGCGTGGCGACGGCGACGGTGTGCGCGCGCTTCGGGCTGAACTGTATCGTGTACATGGGCGCGGAGGACATGAGGCGGCAGGCGCTCAACGTGTTCCGCATGCGCCTGCTGGGCGCAGAGGTGCGGGGAAAGGGGGGTGGGGGTTGGTTGGGGGTGATAGGAGAATTGGGGGGAGGAGGGGAGGGGAGAGTTGGGGGAGGAAGGGTGGGGGGGGTGAATTGTGAGGGATAGAGGGAATGGGGGCTGAACTGGGGGTAAGGAGTAGCGGAATGGGGAGAGGCGGAGGAGGGGGTTGTTAGGGGCGTAGGGCGTGGAGTGAGCGCTGTGTGGAGAGAGCGTGGATTGGGGAGGGCAAGAGTTGAAGTCATACTTTTACGTGAACCTCTGCATCACATCTGCCAATCTCACCCACCATCACCCACTATCACCCACCATCACCCACTATCACTTACCATCACCCACTATCACCCACCATCACCCACTATCACTCACCATCACCCACCATGATTTTTTTACATCTTCACCCTCTTCCCCTCACTTCACGTGTCCGTCCCTCCACGTGTCTAGGTGCGCGCCGTGCACAGTGGCACGCGCACGCTCAAGGACGCCACGTCAGAGGCGATCCGCGACTGGGTGACCAACGTGGACACCACCCACTACATCCTCGGCTCTGCTGCCGGCCCCCACCCCTACCCCATGATCGTCCGCGACTTCCAGGTACCTTCCCTTTCTCCTCTGTCAAGAATCCTCTCGGCCTTTCGCCCTCCCGCCTTAGTCGGATGCGTCTGACTGACCACCCCTCTCGTGTGTGTTGGAACTGAGTTGTTGCATGCAGCCCTATGGTTCTTTTCCTTCATTGCACTCATAATCACGTCCCCCCCCTCCTCCCTCCTAACCCCACCCACTCCACGCCTCTCCTCCTTCCGCCCTCTCAAAATTTCCTTACTTCCTGCCCGTCTGGCCATCATCGCCAGGGAAGCCAAGAAGCAATCCTTTGAGAAATTCGGTCAGCTGCCCGATGTGCTGGTGGCGTGCGTAGGAGGAGGGTCGAACGCCATGGGGCTGTTCCACGAGTTCGTGGAGGACGAGGGCGTGCACATGGTGGGCGTGGAGTGGAGGCGGCGGGGCACTCATGAGATGGCAACACCCACCCTCCATGCCTCCCTCCGCCCTCCTTCCTACCCCCCTTCCGCTTCCCTGATTTTTCTCCTCTTAATTGCCGCCCTGCCCCTTTACTTCAGGCCATCATCGGTCGCGAGGCCAAGAAGCAGTCGTTTGAGAAATTCGGCCGCCTGCCTGATGTGCTGGTGGCATGCGCAGGAGGAGGGTCGAACGCCATGGGGCTGTTCCACGAGTTCGTGGAGGACGAGGGCGTGCGCATGGTGGGCGTGGAGGCGGCGGGGCACTCATGAGATCACTTACCCTCTCTTCCGCCTGTCTCTTGTTTCCACTGAAATTGTCAGGCCATTATTGGTCGGGAGGCGAAGAAGCAATCCTTTGAGAAGTTTGGCCGCCTGCCGGACGTGCTGGTGGCGTGTGTAGGAGGAGGGTCGAACGCCATGGGGCTGTTCCACGAGTTCGTGGAGGACGAGGGCGTGCGCATGGTGGGCGTGGAGTGGAGGCGGCGGGGCACTCATGAGATGGCAACACCCACCCTCCATGCCTCCCTCCGCCCTCCTTCCTACCCCCCTTCCGCTTCCCTGATTTTTCTCCTCTTAATTGCCGCCCTGCCCCTTTACTTCAGGCCATCATCGGTCGCGAGGCCAAGAAGCAGTCATTTGAGAAATTCGGCCGCCTGCCCGATGTGCTGGTGGCGTGCGTAGGAGGAGGGTCGAACGCCATGGGGCTGTTCCACGAGTTCGTGGAGGACGAGGGCGTGCGCATGGTGGGCGTGGAGGCGGCGGGGCACGGTGTGCACACAGACAAGCATGCGGCGACTCTGACGGCCGGGGAGGTGGGCGTGCTGCACGGCGCCATGAGCTACCTGCTGCAGGACAGCGATGGGCAGATCATTGAACCCCACAGCATCAGCGCCGGGTGAGTGGGTTTGTAGGTGGGGCGAGTTGAGTGGGAGCGACTGTGTATTCGTGTGTGTTAGAGGAGGAGGGGGAGGTGGGCGTGCTGCACGGCGCCATGAGCTACCTGCTGCAGGACGCTGGTGGGCAGATCATGGAGCCGCACAGCATCAGCGCGGGGTGAGTAACGTGGTAACTGGGACTGACTGGGGATGGGGATGGAATTCGTGCTCGCATGTGCTGCATGGTGCCATGAGCCACCTGCTGCAGGACGCTGGTGGGCAGATCATTGAACCCCACAGCATCAGCACCGGGTGAGTGCTTGGCGGTTGGGAGCAAGTGTGTGTTTACGTGGGGTGGAGGAGGGGGGTTGGGGGAGGATGGGATCACAGCAGCAGCAGCAGCAGCAGCAGCAGCAGCAGCAGTGCTGGGTGTCTGGGAGTTACTCTGTGTGTGTGTGCGGTGGAGGAGGGGGAGGTGTGCCTGCTGCACGGCGCCATGAGCTACCTGCTGCAGCGCGCGGATGGGCAGATCATTGAACTCCACAGCATCAGCGCGGGGGGAGTGAGCTTGTCGTTGGGTTGATATGGGTAGGAGCGAGTGAGCGTGGATCCACCTTGGACGTTGATTCCCCATGCCCACCATCTTCTCACCTCCCTCTCTGTCTGAAGAGCAGTTTTGAGACGTCTCAAAACTACACTTTGAACACGAGCGGGTTGTGGGTCCGCCTTGGACGTCGATTCCCCATGCTCACCATCTTCTCACCTCCCTCTCTGCTCTCCGCTTTGCAGTCTTAATTTCCTCGGAGAGGGCCCGAGCACAGCTTCCCCGAGTCCCACTTTCCCCTCACCTTTCGCGCTCTGCCCTCTTCGTTTGTCCTTTGTTTGCAGCCTTGACTACCCTGGAGTGGGCCCCAAACACAGCTCCCCCAAATCCCACTCCCTTCTCACACCCTCCTCTCTGCCCTCTCCGCTTTCTGCCCTGCGCTTTGCAGCCTTGACTACCCCGGGGTGGGCCCGGAGCACAGCTTCCTCAAGGACATTGGGCGGGCGGAGTACTTCAGTGTGACTGACGACGAGGCCCTGCAAGGTAAGAGGGCACTGGGGGGTAGATTGACTCAAGTGCAGCTTCCTCAGGGACATGTGGTAGGGAGAGGGGGGCAAGAGGGGAGGAGGCCGGAGTGGGCCTGGCGCACAGCGTTCTCAAGGACATTGGCCGGGCAGAGTACTTCAGAGTACTTCAGTGTACTTCAGTGTGACTGATGACGAGGCCCTGCAAGGTAAGAGGGGAGCGTGGGGAGATGCATCGTGGGGAGCTCTCTTAGGCGGGCAGAGTGTGAATGACGACGAGGCGCTGGCAAGGGTGGGGAGATGCACTCACTTGCGGCTTCCTCAAGGACATTGGGCAGGCAGAGTACTTCAGTGTGACGGACGGTGACGCCCTGCAAGGTAAGGGAGGGCAATGGGGGGGAGGACTCTTTAAATGTCTCAAAAACCGATTCACCCTGAGGGCCCTGAGCAGTGAGCACAGCTTCCTCAAGGACATTTGGCAGGCAGAGTACTTCAGTTTGACAGACGATGAGCACTGCGAGGTAAGGGAAGGCAAGTGGGGAAGGAGAGCATTCCAATGAGGTTTTCCCAAGGCCATGGAGCGGGCAGAGTACTGAGTGTCATGGATGACAATGACAAGGCCCTGCATGGTAGTATTCTTCTCTCATCTGTGCCTTGCTTGTTGGTGCGCAGCATTCAAGCGTGTGTCGCGGTTGGAAGGCATCATCCCGGCTCTGGAGACGTCCCATGCGTTGGCATACCTCGAGTACCTCTGAGCTCAGCTGGCCGATGTTTTGAGACCGTCTCAAAACACTTCTTTTATTCCGTCCCTTTCCCTTGGTGGTTCTTGTGCAGCATTCAAGCGTGTGTCGCGGTTGGAAGGCATCATCCCGGCTCTGGAGACGTCCCATGCGTTGGCATACCTGGAGTACCTCTGCCCTCAGCTGGCCGATGGCACCAAGGTAATTGTGTGCTTTAGCGGCCGTGGAGACAAGGACGTCAATACCGTCATCAACTTGCTAGGCGAGGACCTCTGAACGGTGTAACGTGCAATTTATGTAACTTCTGTCCTGTAAACCGGTGTTGTCATAATGCCATGTTTACTGAAACTTTGGCACAAACAATGATGAATATTGATCTGTTCTGAATGTTACAAAGAATATGGTACACTTTCGTCCCCCTTAGTACACCAGACCTCCATGTCCGGTAAAAATGTCGGTCAGCGACCCAACCGTCGTCAGACGACTCAGGCCACCGTCGCAGAGCCGAGCCGAGGCTGTGCGCCTCGGCAGGTGCTGCAGTCGATGGGGAAAAGACATGCGCGGTTCGATATCAGAACCTTCCAGTCTGCTTTTGGATTTGGGGAAACTCGAGGTCGCGTGACTCGCATCAGACAGGCGCTCCTCAGCAAATCTCGAGGTTGGTTTGCATTTTGGGACTCCCTGAAAACGGTCGGAACCAAGGGGGTGGCCTTGCTAGCTACCTCGACGCACATTTCATGACAATCAATCAATGAGGTGGTGATTACTACTGGAAAGCACCTCGATTTCCGACCGACCTTGGTGCTGTCGAATGAACCCAGCCCGCCGTCTTCCTAATACATCCGTTTCCTTTTCTTCCTTTTGTGGACTCCTGTCCAAGCGAGCATTAGGAGTTCTGTTAGTAGTACGTCTCGTGCTACCTCTGTATACCTTGTGCTCAGGCATCCAGAAGCCCCGGTGTTACCCTGTGTTGAGTACGCATTCAGTAACGAACTCTAGGCAGATCTTGAGAACTAATATTCCTCCCAAGGGACTTAAGTTCTCTCCTTAGACCGAGGCGCATTACTATCAATAACATATTTCTAGTCTTATCTCTAACCAGCTTAGCCCATCATGGTTCTGCGACACACGTTCTGGCGATCTCTCTGCAGTAAGCCGTCGGCGTATTCTTTCGCGAATCATGCCATCAAGCACTGCTTCGCTACCGCGGTACTGCTTCTCGCCGCGGCGAGCAGCACGATCGGCGTGCAGCCTGCGGCCGCCGACACATTCTCCCAGCCCATCGGCGTGTGCTGGGGCCGCAACTCGTGGCAGCAGATGCCGCCTAAAGCCGTCGTGAAGCTGCTTCAAGTAGGTTCACGCATACGTGGGGACTGCTACAGAGTACATAGTTCATGAATTGCACAGTGGCTAAATACTCCTCAGTTCCTCGCAGGACAACCGCATCAGGCGGCTGAAGCCGTTCGCATTAGGAGGAATCCAATATACGCGTTTCACTCTTGTCTTCTGCTGCTATCATCCCTCGCTGCAATCCCCCGGTTCAGGACAACGGCATCAAGCGGCTGAAGCTGTTCGGAGCTGACGTGGACATCCTGCGCGCGCTCGTGGGCACGGACATCGAGGTGGCGGTGATGCTGCAGAACGAGTACCTCAACCTCGTCGCCGGCTCGCAGAAGGAGGCGGCCAAGTGGCTCAGCAACAACGTCTCTCCCTTCGTCTTTCCCAAGGGGGCCAACATCAGGTACTGCCGATGCGGGGAGTTTTTTTCAATTAATCTCAAAATCACCCTCCAACTTCAAGTAGGTGTCATGCGGGGTGTTTTTGGAAGTTCTCCAAAACATCATCCTACATCAGGTATGCCTGATGCTGGTGGGCACGGATATCGAGGTGGCGGTGATGCTGCAGAACGAATACCTCAACCTCATCGCCGGCTCGCAGAAGGAGGCGACCAAGTGGCTCAGCAACAACGTGTCGCCCTTCGTGTTCCCAAAGGGAGCCAACATCAGGTACTGCCGATGCGGGGTGTCTTTCAATAAATGAATAAAAAAACACCCCCAAACATCAGGTACGTGCCTTGGGGGGTGTTTTTGGTAGTTCCCCAAAACACCATGCATCATCAGGTATGCCTCATGCTGGTGGGCACGGGCATCGAGGTGGCGGTGATGCTGCATATCGAATACCTCAACCTCGTCAACCTTCCCCAAACTCTCTCCCCCCTCCCATCCTCTTCCCTCACTCTCTCCCACTTCCCCTCCCCTCCCCTCCCCTCCCCTTTCCTCCTCTTCTGGGAGCAGGGAGATAGCAGTGGGCAACGATCCCTTCCTACAGGGCTACCAGGGCATGTACGAGGCTTCTGAATGAACCCTTTCCCCCTTTCCCCCCCATTTCCCCCGTCACTCTCCCCTCCCCTCTTTCCCTGATTGCAGGGAGATAGCCGTGGGGAACCAGCCATTCCTGCAGGGCTATCAGGGCGTGTACGAGTCAGCAGTGGTGCCGGCGATGCGTAGCTTGTACAGTGCGATCTCCCTGGATGACCTTATATCTCATCCCTACCCCCTTCTCGTCCCTCTTCCCCCCTTCCTCACCTGATTGCAGGGAGATAGCCGTGGGGAACCAGCCCTTCCTGCAGGGCTACCAGGGCATGTACGAGTCCCTCGCGAGTCACTCTCCCTCAATTCCCCATTACCCACTCGCACCCCCCTTCCCCAACACTCACTCATCCCTGATTGCAGGGAGATAGCAGTGGGCAACGAGCCGTTCCTGCAGAGCAGGGCTACCAAGGGCGTGTACGAACCTCCCAAATCACACCTCGCTTTGCTCCCTCTTCCCCCTCACCCCCTCTGCTTGCAGGGAGATAGCAGTGGGGAACGAGCCGTTCCTTCAGGGCTATCAGGGCATGTACGAGTCAGCAGTGGTGCCGGCGATGCGAAACATGTACAGTGCGCTACAGGACGCCAAACTAGACGACAAAATCAAGCTGACCGTGCCTCTTAACGCGGATATTCTCGGGAGCTCCTACCCGCCGTCCTCGGGCGAGGTTCGAGGGGATATTTTGGAGGATATCACCGCGATTGCAGATATTTTGAAGCAGTCAGGTGGAACGTTCTCGATAAATATCTACCCGTTCCTGACGCTGCATCAGGACACGACGGGGGCGATCGGGCTGAACCAGGTTTTTTTGGGGCAGCCTGGCGGGCAGGCGTGGCAATTCAAGGACCCGAAGAGCGGGCTGAAATACGACAACATTTTCGACGGGGCGTTTGATGCTGTGGTGGCTGCTCTGGAGAAGATCGGTTATGGCGATGTGAGTGGAGGCTGAGGCTGCTTGTGGGGCTGAGTGTGGGGCTGAATGTGGGGCAGGGGCTGAATGTGCAGATCATTGCGGGATCTTTGTGGTCGTTTGATGCTGTGATGGCCACTCCGGATAAGATCAGATGTGTTGATGTGAGTGGTAGCTGAGGCTGGGTGTGGCGTTGGTTGTGGGGTATAAGTGGGCTCACTGTGGGCTCATTGTGGGCTCTTTGTGGGCTCATTGTGGGCTCATTGTGGCTCCTTTCTCCTCGCCTACACACTTTTATATGCCCACCAGACTTTCACTTCACTTCACTTCACTTCACCACACACTTATTTGTGGGCTCCTCCCTTCACTTCACTTTCAGCTTTCTACCCTACTTTGTTTTGTCTCCTCCCCCTCCCTCCTTGACTCCCTCATCCCTTTGCCCTGTTCCTCCTCCCTTCCCATGCCCACCCACAAACTTCGCTCCATAAGCCCCTCTCACTATCCACTCCACCCTCATTCACCACACTTTCACACCCCCACTCCCCCCCACCTTCCCTCCCCACACCCCCCAACCCCCCCTCCGCACCCCCCGTCCCTCCCACTTCTCCTTCTCTCTGCAGCTGCCGATCGAGATTGGCGAGATCGGGTGGCCATCCGACGGCCAGGGTGACATGAGGGGCTACGCCACAGTGGACAACGCATATCGCTTCAACCAGGCAATCCTAGCCCACATGTTGTCAGGAAGAGGCACACCCGCCCGCCCGAATCAAATCCTGAGTGGATACCTTTTCGCGCTTTCAGACGAAGACCGGAAGATTACTCTAGCCGGCCCGTTCGAGAGGCATTGGGGAATTTTCCGCGCGGACGGGACCCCGAAATACCCGTTGGATTTGACGGGCGGCGGGAAGAATGTCACTCTGAAAAGCGCAACAGGAATTGTGCTGTACCCCGGGCGGTGGTGTGTGGCCAAGGAGGATGCGGACCCGCAGAAATTGGCCGAAGCAGTGACGTACGCGTGTGGGGATACGAAGCCTTCGGATTGCACACCTGCACAGGTTGGAGGGTCGTGTTACTTTAATGGTAGTACTTCAAAGGTTGCGACCTATGCGTTCAACAGCTATTTCCAGCTGAATAACCAATCAGGTGGGGCGTGTGACTTCAAGGGGGTGGCCGAAGTGGTGCAGAACAATCCTACCCAGGAACAATGTAGGTATTTATTGGGAATCGACCAAGCAGCCTCTAAGGCTGCTGGAATAGGGATGGGTATAGGGATTTGGTACACACATATTCTTATGATGTTTATAGTAGTAGCTATGGGTGCCATGCTCCCCTGAGTGGGAAATGGTGGCAGGTGCAATGTTGGATGAAAATTAGCCGATTCTCAGGGTGGGCTGATGGAATATACGGTACATGTCAAATTTGCTGAAGAGCACATTATTGATGACAAACATTACATGCTGCGTTTCTGTCACTCGATAAGCTAATAACGCGAGGAGAGTGGTCAAATGGTTTGGGACTTCGGACACCAAGCCAAAAATATCAGAAGTATGGGTAGACTCATTGGATGGGGCATTCAACGAAACGATTTGGTTGCGCGCCGGCATTGCGCTCCCAACTGCTGCCGGACCGACTGCGGTTTCGAGCTGTACAAAAAGATGCATGGCAGCGCTGGTTTGGAAGCATGTGTGAATACGAGCCGAATCTACAAGCGCATTCTTTCGGGCTTTTACGGTGCCCCATTTTGCTTAACGATTTCCAGGTAAGCGCTTTCGTGTTGAAGGGGGAACTTGGAGTTCCTCCACTCCCGAAGGCTCAAGATAAAAAGATGAGTGGAAAAAGGTCCGGTCCCGTACCGACTGGTTTCGTTCGGTCCCCTATAAAAATGTTTGGTGTTCGGTTCCGAGGCTGGAGAGGTGGTCTGGAGAGGAGGAGCGGTTTGGTTCGTCGTTGGTCGGGCTCCTCGGTTCAGGTTTTGCTGAGTCAAGGGTTCCCTTACCAGAGAACCGCCTTTCTGCTGGACCACTCTCTCAGGAGGAACTTCAGGCCAGCCTGATTGCTTCACTCTCCAATTTCCAGGCATCACTCTCCCAGCACCTATTCTCCAGCTCTAGTAGGTTTTCAAGGAGCTGTCGGTTTTTATCCGTATCTTCACACGCAGCGAAGCGGAACTAGCTGTTCGTCGGATATTTTATTGTTGTATTTTTCTGGTTCTAAATAGAAACTGGTGGATATAATGGGTGACCGGAGAGTGAAGTTTGCTGACGAGCGGTTGGCTCCCGGCCACGCTATTCACGGATCTGTATTGGGTAGAAGAACAGGTATCCTCTTGCACTCCTGATTAACTTAGTGTCCGTTGCGCAGGAGCCTTTTCGTCGGCTCATTGCTACCATTCTTTTCCATTCCTTTTAAGATCGCTTATGCTCGGTTCCCTTTGTCATGTTCTAATGTGAATGCATTGACACATTTCGCAAGCTTCGAATATACGTAACATCCATTGTCACATTTTTCCACCTAAATTAAGCGACGGTGTTCAACATTATTAACAATGATATTACTGCGACATTTCGCGCAGAGCAACTGGAGTCATTATTCAAGCTGGGGAAGAAGCTTGGCCAGGGCCAGTTCGGCGTAACGTTTCTCTGCACGGAGAAAGCCACGGGGAAGGAGTACGCGTGCAAGACCATCGCAAAGAAGAAGCTTATATCGAGGGAGGACGTGGAGGACGTGAAACGCGAGGTGGCGATCATGCATCACCTGTCGGGCCATAACAACATTGTGTGCATCAAGGGAGCTTACGAGGATCACGCGAATGTACACATTGTCATGGAGCTCTGCACGGGAGGCGAGCTGTTCGAGCGCATTATTAAAAAGGGCCACTACAGGTAAGCGTCGAGTGTACGCTGTGCTGTAGCCACAGAATATAAGTTTCATGGCAGGCATATGGTGAATGCTTGCTGATGGGGTTACTCCTGCGTCATTAGGTCTAATACTCGTCTGCATTTTTAGCCATCTCCGCGGGAAGTGCGAGCGCTTCGGGCGCTTCATCACAGAAATTAATTACTAGTAAGCGTCGGAGTGTACGCTGTACTGTGATTGTTTTTGTTTTTGTTTTGTTTTTTTGTTCGTTTTTTATCTAATAGTTGTCGCAACGTACGTGGGGAGCGTTCGCTCCAGATGGGAAATGTCTGGGTAACTATTTCCAGGAGCCGTTTACAATATACTTTCGCTCAAAGGAGGAGCCCTACTATTTCATCGCACCAGCGTGATCAGTGCATGTGACTCCGAAAAGTGTCTTTATCTCTTGTTTCACATTCGCGATGGCCCCAATGTGAGTGTATGGCGTCTGCGCCATGTTGTCGTCTATGGAAGTCGATATCAAATTCATCGTTTTTTGTGAAACAGCGTGAGCGGAGTCCAGAACGAGTGGGGTTCAGTTGCCTTCCAAGGACAGACAAACACTCTCCACATGCGCGTGCATACGCACGCACATTCACTCGTTCGCACACGTGCGCGCACACACAGACTCGCGCAGACGCACGCATACCCTCATAAACGCACACGCGCCCACTCACCCTGACATGCAGCCCTCATCTTTTGCCAGTCTGCTTCCGCTTCGTTTCCTCCCTCCGTTCCGCCTCCCGATTCCCACTCCCTCCGTTTCTCCTTTCTCCCCATCCCCTCCCCCATTCACCTCGCTTTCCCCCATCTTCCCCCCTCCTTCCCTCCCCCTCCCGCCCGCCCTTGCCCCGCTCCGCCCCCCGCAGTGAGCGGCAGGCGGCGGAGCTAACGCGGACGATCGCGAAGGTGATAGAGGCGTGCCACTCGCTGGGCGTGATCCACCGCGACCTCAAGCCGGAGAACTTCCTCTTTGCCAACAAGTCCGAGACCGCCGACCTCAAGGCGACCGACTTCGGCCTCTCCTACTTTTTCAAGCCAGGTGCGTGCACTGCAGTGTAGTGCAGTGCATTGCGTGCTAGGCCTCCCTTTTCCCTCGCCCTTCCTCCTCCCCTCACCGTTTTCCCCCTTCCCCAGCCCCCTTCCTTCCCCAGCGTCCAGCCACCCTCCCTTTTGTTCGTCCGTGTGAAACACGCACATCTGCGGCTGTTTCTCCAGTGTGGGCCCGAGATGCCCCTTATCGACTCGTATTGTCTCCCCGTCCCCTCTCCCCCCCCCGCCCCCCCCTCCTCACCCTCATCTCCCAACTCGCCGTCCCGCCCTCCCCACCAGGCGAGTACCTGTCGGATGTGGTGGGCAGCCCGTACTACTTGGCGCCGGAGGGGCTTTCCTGGATCGTAACACCTTATGCCCTACCCCTCCCGCCACCCCCCTTCTGCCTGCTCCAACCGCACCCCCCTACCCGCCTCCCCCTCCCCTCTTCCCCCCCCGCCAGGCGAGTAACTGTCGGGCGTGGTGGGCAGCCCGTACTACGTGGCGCCTGAGGTGCGCCTCTCAATCCGTTTGTCTCATCTCATTACCCCGACCCAACCCCCACCTTTTCCTCCTCCATCCAGGCGAGTACCTGTCGGACGTGGTGGGCAGCCCGTACTACGTGGCGCCGGAGGTGCTGCGGCGGAGGTACAATGAGAAGGCGGACGTGTGGAGCATGGGCGTTATCATCTACATCCTGCTCTCCGGCGTGCCACCCTTCTGGGCAGGTGCGTACCCGTTAAGAGACCCCCCGGTTCGTTCAAAGAAAAAAGGATCAGGAAGTGAGCATAAATGTGATTATCAAAATCCTCCTCAGTGGGGTGCTGGTACGTGGTTAGGTAAGCATGCCATCTTCCCGCCTTAGCAGGTCTTTACCCGTTATAGGATTTTTCAGTAGAGTTAAAGGTGCAAGGGTGGGCGTAAGGCGCATCTGTGGGCATGAGTGTCGTAAGGGTGGTTGCAGGCTGGGAAATGATTGGTTGAAAAGAGGTTGGTGGAGCATGTGCAGCATCATCATTTGCTTGGTCCTTAGGAACGTTTGCCCAATCTAAGCCTGCTCGCAACTTTTAGTGCCACCCTCCTTCGCCTTCCCCCACCCTCCACCCCAACCCCACCTTCTCCCTCGTCCCTCGTTGACTCCCCACCCCGTTCCACCCCCTCTTCCCATTTCCCTCACGTGTGCAACCCACTCACACAGAGAGACGGATCAGTGACTAATTGAGGCAGTGTTGCTTGGGGGACTGGACGTGCGCACTGAAGCACCACCATGTCGTTGCTCACTCACTTGCATTGCACGCATGTCCCCGCTGCTTCTTCGTTTCCCCTGCGCTGCTCCTCAGAGCCGGTGCTGCGGGGCGAATTGGACTCGTGCACACCTTACTGCTGCAATATCGATGCTCACGTGCAAGATTGCTGCACTTCCCCCTTCCCCTTACTTCACCACACACCCCTCGCCCCACACGCCCCACTCCCCACCCACCCGAGGCACCCCACCCACTCCACCCACACATGCAACGACGGATCAGGGCATATTTGAGGCAATGCTGCCGGCCGATTTGACCTCGTGCACTGAACCCCTGCCCCTTTACCTTCCCCCTCTCCAACTCCACTCCACCAGAGACGGAGCAGGGTATCTTTGAGGCGGTGCTGCGGGGCGAGCTGGGCGTTGAGTCGGACAGCTGCCATGTCGATGTTCATGTGCAAGCATGGTGCATACCCCCTGCTCCTTCACCCTCCTCTCCTCCTGCAGAGACGGAGCAGGGCATATTCGAGGCGGTGCTGCGGGGCGAGCTGGACTTTGAGTCGGACCCGTGGCCGTCTATCAGTGAGGACTCCAAGGACCTCATCCGCCACATGTGCTGCCTCGACCCCAAGAAGCGCTACTCCGCTTATGACGTGCTCTGTGAGTCAACCTCTCTCTGTCTCTTGGGCTGTCAGCTGCTCTGGCAGCTGCTCTGTCAGTTGGTGTGCCAGAGGCGCTGTCTGTTGCTGTGTGTGTGAGATGAGATGAGGGGAGTAAGGGCATGAGGAGTCTTGTGGCCGTCCATCAGTGAGGACTCCAAGGACCTCATCCACCACAGTGCTGCCTCTACCCTCAGCCGTGTTTCACTTCTCCAGTTCGTCATTCATTGGGCTTGGGGCTCAAGGAGACGTTCAAGATAATTGTCGGCAGCGGCAGCGGCACCACTAAAACAACCCGTGATGTTTTCGTCTCTCCGTCTGTCCGTCCTTCTCCCCCCGCTGTCACCGCTACCCCTCCATCCCGGCAGGCCATCCGTGGGTGGCCAAGGATGGCGTCGCACCCGACAAGCCTCTGGGCTCAGCCGTGCTGTCCCGCCTGAAGCAGTTCACGGCGATGAACAAGCTCAAGAAGATGGCGCTGCGCGTGATCGCAGAGAGCATGTCGGAGGAGGAGATCTCGGGGCTGAAGGAGACGTTCAAGATGATGGACACCGATGGCAGCGGCACCATCACGTATGAGGAGCTGCGTGCCGGGCTCAAGAGGATCGGGTCTACGCTCAATGACATGGAGATTAAGGAGCTCATGGATGCGGTGAGCTACTCGTGAATGGATGTCTCGGGCTTGGCTGTGCGTGTCTGTCTGGGCGTTGGGCTTGGTTGTGTGTTGGTATTTCAGGGCTCAAGATGATTGGGTGTACCCTCAATGACATGGAGATTAAGGAGCTCATGGGTGTGGTGAGTGCTTGGGGTGGTCTTGGGGTTTGGTTTGAGTCGACTCAAAAGGCACCATCACACATGAGGAGCTGCGAGCCGGGCTCGAGAGGATCGGGTCGACTCTCAACGACATGGAGATTAAGGAGCTTATGGATGCGGTGAGTGGGTACACGGGGCTTGGCTGTGCGTGTGTGGGCTTGGGGCTTGGCTATGTAGGCACGGTCGTGTGTGCCGTGTGTACCAGGTTGTGCAGCGGGCTGGGGTATGTGCTGTTCCGCCAAAGCTAAAGAGGATTCGTCTCCGCCCAACAACATGGAGATCTCTGTATGGACCGCATGGATGCGGTGTGCCTGGGCTTGCATTTGCTAGAGTGGTGTGGTGGGCTGCTGTAGTAAGCTGCTGTGTGTGCAAGTCTTCAGGGTGTTCAAGGCATATAGTTTTTTTTTCATTATTGACAACGCTCGACACCCCTGCTTCCCTCCCTCTTGGCGTCGCCAGTCACCCTTTCCATGTTTACCGAGACTCTGACGCACTGTCTTCCCTTCGCACCACTCATGCCTATGTTGACAGCAACGGAACCCTAGACTTAGGGTTTGTTTGTGCGATGGGCAGCTAATTCCCATGTTATCGTATTCACCCCATATCTCCCACATCACTTATTGGCGGCATCACATCTCATCGGATAGCATCTCATCATCTCAGTTACCCTCGCATCACAATCAGGCTGACATGGGTGGAGCCATTGACCATGGCGAGTACCTGAGGGGAACCCTGCAGAGTCTGATATTTGTTACCTCCGTGTCCCACTCATCTCAATCCCCAATCCAGGCTGACATTGACGGCAATGGCACCATTGACTACGGCGAGTTCCTGGCGGCCACGGTGCAGCTGAACAAGATAGAGCGCGAGGAGACGCTGTTTGCTGCCTTCTCCTACTTTGACAAGGACTCTTCGGGCTTCATTTCCACTGATGAGCTGCAGGACGCGTGCCGTGAGTACGGCGTCGACGAGGAGTGCATCGTTGAGACCATGCGCGACGTTGACACTAACAATGTGAGTACTGCCATTCACTTCTGAGACGTTTGAGATACATTATAACGAGCTGCGGGACGCGTGCCGCGTGTATGAGGTTGACGAGGTGTGCATTGTTAAGTCCATACGTGACATCGACACAAAAAATGTGAGTGATGAGGCTGCTGGTACTGTTCTGGCGATGAAGTTATTTGCACCGTACTGTGTCTATTTTTTTGGTGACGCGAGGTTGTTATGATGTGTGATAGGAATGCAGTTTTGGTACCAAAAGGAAGCCCAACGTTTCTGTTGCCCTTTTTTCTGCAGTCTCTGTTTGAAGAGTAATTGTTTTTGTTTTTTTCCTGCAGGATGGCATCATTGACTATAACGAGTTTGTTGCCATGATGAGGCAAGGGAACGGAGGGATTGGCAGGAAGAGTTTGGGCGGCAGCTGGACCAGTGGCAATCTCTTCCGGGACCTCGTGTCGGCCGGCCAAAAGGCCGGCCCCAACTCACCCTTGGCTTCAGTACAACCCTGACCCCGTGTTAGCTCATCCCATGTTTTTAACTGACTTTGTTAATCACTCAGACTTGAGTAACGTGTGTGAAATCGTAAGCCATCTCTTGTTGATAGTGTTTGTGGCATACAAGCCAGCCCAGGATAGCTTGTGTTATGAGTTGTAAAAGAGAGTGCGCAGGTAAACGAATAACGAAGCTGTGACTGAATCAGCTGCGAATACAATGAATGCACAGACTAATGTAGGACTACTCTAGCTAGGAGGAAACCTCGGACGAGCGAGGATGGGTGCAGGTTTGGCGATGGGAAAGCCGAAGGCGACGTGAGTAGCCTCGGCAGCGTTGAAATCGGCCGAACGTGCGAACTCCGAAAATCGGGTTGTACGCGAAGCAGTCAACCCCGATAAGGAATTCGGGAAAATTCCTTACACCACCCCCCCCTTTAAGAAAGGTAGTCAATGGCCGAAACACGCCGTCGCGCCAGATAATCACCAACAAGTGTCGAGGCGTCCATTGAAGCGGATGGCACCCACGTGTCGTCCTCACTGGTGCGGTCTGTCAAATGTTGTAGCCTGTAGTGAGGTTTGTCTTAGGGAGTATAGAAGTTAGGGTTTGTTATATGTACCCCAACCAACATCAATGGCATCATCATTCCTCATTTTGACATGGTATCAGCTAGGTTAGGATCCTGTGGGATCCCGTTCCTCCGTTCTCCGTTCGTCCCTCCCGAGCCTGATCCTACCTCTCGTTCGTACCGGTTCCGTTGTTACCGCGCCTAGTACCGAGCCTAGCGCCCTCTCCCCCGTCGCTTAGCGCCCTTTCTCCCCGTCGCCTAGCGCCCCTTCCCCCCCCCCGTCGCGTCGCGCCCTTTCCCCCCGTCGCCTAGCGCTCTTTCCCCCCGTCGCGTCGCGCCCGTTCCCCCCGTCACGTCGTGCCCGCCCTTTCCCCCCCGTCCCGTCGCCCTGTCCCGTCGCGTCGCCCTGCCCCGTCCCGTCGCCCTGCCCCGTCGCGTCGCCCTGCCCCGTCCCGTCACCCTGCCCCGTCGCGTCGCCCTGCCCCGTCGCGTCGCCCTGCCCCGTCCCGTCACCCTGCCCCATCGCGCCGCCCTGCCCCGTCGCGTCGCCCTGTCCCGTCCCTACGCCCTGGCCCGTCGCCCTACCCTACGCCCTGGCCCGTCGCCCTACCCTACGCCCTGGCCCGTCGCCCTACCCTACGCCCTGGCCCGTCGCCCTACCCTACGCCCTGGCCCGTCGCCCTACCCTACGCCCTGGCCCGTCGCCCTACCCTACGCCCTGGCCCGTCGCCCTACCCTACGCCCTAGCCCGTCGCCCTACCCTACGCCCTGGCCCGTCGCCCTAGCCCGCTCTTCCGCTGCGACTGAGTCCCCTTCCCACCTGAACCCTAATTTGCCTCTTCTCCCCGGTTGTTACTCGCCTGTTCGTTCGCGTTAGTTCTCACTATGGCGACTCCGCGAGTTTTTCGTTTCGACGCTGACGGTAGACCACTTGACTTTTCCGTCTGGCTTCTTCGCGCTCGCCGTCTGTTAGAGAGTCAGGTCCAGGGGGGCGAGACCCTCTGGTCGCACGCTACTGGTGACCTCCCCGAGCCCCCCGAGCCTACAGCTTTAGGCTCTGCCCCTGACGACGCTGCTACGGCTCGCTTTGCCCGTCAGCGCGCTGACCGGACGGCTTGGACGTCGCGTGACGCTGCGGCCTGCATCGCACTCAGCAGCCTCCTCCCTGAGTCTGAGGAGGTCCACTTTACTCAGGTTCGCACCGCTGCTGCGTACCTCACTGCGATTAAGGCCCGCTACTCTACTCCCGCTACTGTCTCTCTTGGCCGTCTTTTCCTCCCGTTCCTGTTTCCTGATCTCGCCTCGTTTGAGCGCTCTGCTGACTTGATCGCTCACCTCCGCTCGCTCGACGCTAGTTACCGCGCTGCTTGCACTGAGGCACAGCTTGCACTGCTTCCTCCCCCCATGGCGATTACTGTCTATTTCATCGCCACTAGCCTCCCTGACCGCCTAGCCTCCGTTCGTGACGCGCTTCTGCTGAAGCACCCTAGTGAGCTGACTATCGAGGTCCTTGAGTCTGCACTCAAGGACGTCAAGAGCAACCTTCGCTCGGTAGCTGCCGCCTCTGGTACTGTGTCCCCCCCACTCTTCCACGGGTGCACAGTCGCGCAGTTACCCACCTTCACTGCCTCTCTCGCCACTGCCGCTACTGACGCGACTGCGGCTGCTGTTACGACTGCGTCGCGGTCCCGCGGCAAGGGGGGCAAGAAAGGTAGTTCTGGTGGAGGTGGAGGTGGAGGTAGCGGAGGTAGTGGGGGTGCTGTTGCGACTGGCGGTGGTGGGAGTGCAGCGTCTGGAGAGACCCCTCGTGCAGCGGCTGGTGACTCCACTGCGCCTGCTGGTGGCGGCGACCCCCGAGCTCGTCAGTCGCCTCCTGTACTGCCGACCCCGCTAGGTGGAGCAGCGGCGTGGTACCAGGCTCAGCGTCAGCAGCACCTTCAGCAGCAGCAGCAGCCCCTTTCCTCCCGCCAGCCTCAGCAGCAGCAGCGTCAGCAGCTGGCTCCGGGGTCGGGGCTGCGTCAGCCCCAGCGCGGTGCTTCTTACCCTCCCTGCACCTATCAGGTTCTGACAGGTCCTCGTCGGGGCCACCCTTGTGGCCGCTTTCACCCCCCTGGTCAGTGCTTTGCTCAGCTCACTGACACGGTCCGGTTGGCCTACGGGGTTGGCGGTCCTGCTCTTGACTGGCTTCCTCTGGTTCAGCGCTACGGCTCCGCTCTGTGGGGCATGTCTGCTGAGCAGTTAGTTGATCTGATTGGTGCTCCTCATGCTATGTATGCTGTTGTTGACTCTAGTGTTTCTGACTCGTTTTACTCTGGTGTTGTTAGCTTAGGTGCTAGTCTTGCTCAGTTGCCTGTTGCTAGTGTAGGTTCTTGTGTAGACTCTAGACCAGCGACTACCTCAGAGGACGCTTCGCTGTCGTTCACGCTGGACTCTTGAGCCTCACACTGCTTCTTCCGGGACAGCACGACACTTACACCACTTCCTGCGCCTGTTTCTGTGGCTTTGGCTGATCCCACTACGGGACCAGTCACTGCACGTCACACTACCACTTTACCGTGTCCTGCTGCTCCCTCCGGGTCTCTCACTGGGTTTCACGTCCCCTCGTTCTCCCGGAACTTGGTGGGCGTGCGACCCCTCGTGAGTCAGCACGTGGGTGTGTGGTTTGAGCCTTCTGGAGAGACTGCGGTGTGTGTTGACGGAGACTCTTACCAGCCTCTTGCTACCTTTACTGCTGAGCCGGGCTCAGGTCTCTACACGCTTCACACTGGCCCGCGTGCGCCGCAGCAGCAGCCGCAGCAGCAGCAGCAGCCGCAGCCGCAGCAGCAGCAGCAGCAGCAGCTGCACCAGCGGTCGCACCAGCAGCCGCCCCTACTGCCACTGCCCCCGGTTCCCCCCCCCGTTCGGGTCCCCGCGTCTCACCGGGTTGCTTCGTCCCCCCAGGTGTCTGTGTCGTGTCAGGTTCCTACGTCTGCTCCAGTCGCTGCGTCGTGCTCCTGCCGGTCGCTTGCCCACCCCACCGTTCTGTGGCACCACCGGATGGGGCACCCGTCCCTTCCTCGTCTGCGCGCTATGTCTAGTCAGCGTCTTGTCCTAGGCCTCCCACGTGTCTTGCCGTCGCTGCCGCCTTCGCTTGCGCCGTCGTGTGGTCCCTGCGTCGAGGGTCGGCTGCGCGCCGCCCCTCACTCCTCCTCCCTTCGTCCGGCCACCGAGCCTTTTGAGACGCTTCACTTGGACGTCTGGGGCCCCGCCCCTCGTCTAGGCCCTGAGCGTGAGCGCTACTTTCTGGTGGTCGTTGACGACTTCTCCCGCTACACCACAGTGTTCCCTCTGGCGAAGAAGTCTGAGGTGACTTCTATGCTGATCAGGTGGTTGCTCACCACAGAGGACACTCGTGGTCGTCGTGTCAGCTGCCTCCACTTCGACCGTGGGGGTGAGTTTCGCTCCGGCATTCTCGCTGGATTCTGTCGCGAGCAGGGCATTCGTCAGTCCTGGACGCTTCCAGAGTCCCCACAGCAGAATGGGGTTGCTGAGCGCCGCATAGGCCTGGTCATGGAGATCGCCCGCACCTCCCTGACTCACGCCTGTGCCCCCCATTTTCTGTGGCCCTACGCGGTCAGGTACGCCGCGCACCAGCTGAACCTCTGGCCACGTGTCTCTCGACCAGAGGTTTCACCGACCAGTCTTTGGACAGGGTCCCCTGGTGTTGCGTCGCGGTTTCGTGTCTGGGGGTGCTTGGCTCTTGTCCGCGACACCTCCGCGGACAAGCTCTCGCCTCGTGCCGTCCCCTGTGTCTTCCTTGGTTTCCCTGAGGACTCCTCTGACTTCACCTTTTACCACCCTCCCTCTCACCGGTTCTTTGACTCCCGTGACGTCCGTTTTGAGGAGTCCACTCCGTACTACGTCAGGTACCCCAGTCGAGGTCTCCAGGTTCCTCCTCCCCCCCTCTTCCTGACTGCCGCTCCCCCTCCTGTTCCCCCGGTACAGCCTCCCCCCCCTGGTCCAGCCCCGTCGGGTGTGTCCCAGGCTACCCCTCCTCCTTCGGTAGCCTCTCCGGTACAGCCTCCCTCCCCACAGTCCTCCTCGCAGCGTGCCGCAGGTGCTAGCTCTCGAGAGGTTGGTGCTGCGCCTGTTCCTGTACCGGTTTCTGGTTCTGGGGGTGGTGGAGTTGGAGCTGGAGTTGGAGCTGGAGTTGGAGCTGGAGTTGGCACTGGAGTTTCTGGTTCTGGGGGTGCTGGGGTTGGAGCTGGAGTTGGAGCTGGAGTTTCTGGTTCTGGAGTTGGAGCTGACCCGGTGGGTGCAGAGGACTCTTGTCGTCCGGGAGCTGGTGCTGGTCGCGCGGACACTGGGGGTGAGAGTGCGCCTCCTTCGGGTTCTGGCGAGCCTGGGTCTGGAGCTGGTGTTAGTGCTGCCTCTGGGGGTGGTGCGCCTGGTTCTTCGGGGGTGGACTCT